AAAAATGCGTCTCTGCATGCGCGCCATGTCAAAGTGACGAACAACGCACAAAGTGCCTAAACTGGGTAAAGTGCGTAAAAAGCGCGCAAAAAGTGCATAAACAGTGCGTAAAGTGCACAAAGTGCGTGAAGGGCAGAAAGTGCGCAAAGTGGATGTAGCCTGACATGAATGCTCGTCGGCCGACGCCAACATACATGTTCCCCGACACCAACATTGCTGTTCCCCGACACCAACATCTGTTCTCCGACTCGCGTTCCCCGACACCAACGTGACCCTACTGCATGGATAATCAAATATACAAGTGAAAATTCAGTTGGTGAAATCAAGATTGCTTTGCTGATCTATTTAGTCCCTGTTGTAATCGTGAAGCTCCTCTCACCCTCACGGATTGACCATCACTTTCTTCTCGAGGTAGTCAACGTTATCGTTGTGGGCCTCTCTGTTGACATGCAGAAGGATGATCCCAGCAACCCTGTGTGGCAGGTGCTTCTGTGATTCCTGTGCCGTTGGAACTCTGCAGCAGAAATCATATTTCTCTCCGAAGGATACATGTTTCATTCATGTGGAATAAAACCTGGCCACAAACGGATGCATTTGCAAAAGCGAGTAGGGCGCGAAGGTGTGAAAGTTTGGCCATGTAGTAATGACACAGAAACTGGCAAGAAGACGTGAAGCCTGTTTTAACTCAGGCCTGGAAGATTCGTGAGGATCACAATGTCACAGCTTGAAACCCTTGTTCACCTGTCAAGGTTTTGGAGATCGTATTTCTTACATTCTACTTCTTTGAAGCTGTCGGAAAGCTTGCTGTGCAACTTGGCAGAGAAAGAGTTGTAATATAACTTGTTTTTCGAATCATTTTGAGACGGAAATGAACGTGTTGCTCAACAGTGGCAAGATTGGTGGGAGGCGGGGGATGTTTAAAGCCAGTGAAGCTTGCACATATCTGTTAGGGTTCCTTTTTTAGACCCTATTTTGTCAAGGGCGTGGTCGTTTGCCCTGTTTCCCCCCACAGAGCTTGAATTGCCCCTCCATTGATGCTTTTGTATGCTTTTGTGACCTGAATGGGCCAGTCTTTTCAGATCAAAGCAGCTCTAGACTCCATTCTGACATTCTCTCATTTTTTTTTGTATCACGTCTTGCAAGCAGTGCGGCCAAATTTGCACCAACCACTCAGCAGCCCGTCTCAGGTTTGGATGTCGATGGTATTTTCTGGGCGAAGACCATTGGTGGAAGCTTAGCCGCAGTGCGATGTGGCATATTCTCTGGTAAAAATGGCTTTTGCTGGTATGCAACAAAACTGTGGATGCGAGTCAGAATTACCATTGTCCAAATGATCGCATTCTTGAACATATTCCAGGACATCAGCTCGTGAAAGCTCAATGATTTCGTTTTCCGGCAAACCTACCTACCTCAGTCCGGAACAACAAACAAGAACAATGAACAGGGATAAACACCCAGCGCAGTCAGTACGCAACCAACACAATCTGCAGTCACAAATCACCGCTGCATTGAAACAACAAGAATAAACAACAGAAGGAAGAGGAAGAGGAAGAGAAAGAGGAAGAACAGAAACGAGAAAACACATACTTAACTTAACAATAAGAAAAAACTACAATAAGAGGAAAAGGATTAAGAAGAACAATAAGAGCAAGAGGAATAAGAATAGAGGAAGAAAAGACACGAGAAAACACATACTTAACTTAATAATAAGAAAAACCAACAATAAGAGAAAGAGGAGCAAGAAGAATAATAAGAGCAAGAGGAATAAGAAAGAAGAAGAAGAAGAAGAAGGAGAAGAAGAAGAAGAAGTAGAAGCAGAAAAAAAAATAATCGAAGGAAGTTCAGAAGTCAAACTTCCGACAATATGGACAGATGAAAAGCAGAGATGGGAAGAGTCAGAGAAGAGAAGAGAAGACGAAAGAAGCTCAAAAAGAGAAAGTCGCAGAAGAAAGAAGATCCAGGTGCGCGAAAAGGTAGTAAAGTCACGAAACACTGTGTTTTTCCAATGATTTGTGGCTCCACAGGGTCGAAAAGTAGGCTCGCTAAAGCGGCGGCGGGCGCGGAGCCAGCTGGCCAGATGAGAGATTACAAATTGCACGCCGTTGTGGCGTGAAGCACATTTCGAAGTCAAAATGTACAAAGCACACTAGGTCGAATCGCTGGTTTTCCTGTGGCCTCGCCGTGTCTATCAAAAAATTGCAAAACCTATCCACTTTACACTTTACACCCTACACTCTACACTCTACACTCCACACTTTACACTTGACACTTTACGCTCCACACTTTACACTTTACACCCCGCACTTTACAATTTAATCTCCACACTCCACACTTGACACTCCAGACTCCACACTCTACACGTTACACTCTACACTTTGCGCTCCACACTTTACACTTATATACACTTTACACTCCACGCTCTACACTCCACACTTTACACTTTACACTTGACACTTTACACTCCACACTCTTACACTTTACACTCCACACGTTACACTTTACACTCCACACTTTACACTCTACACGTTACACTCTACACTTTGCGCTCCACACTTTACACTCTATATACACTTTACACTCCACGCTCTACACTCCACACTTTACACTTTACACTTGACACTTTACACTCCACACTTTACACTCTACACGTTACACTCTACACTTTATGCTCCACACTTTACACTCTATACACACTTTACACTCCACACTCTACACTCCACACTTTACACTTTAGACTCCACACTTTACACTTTACACTCTACACTCCGCACTTTACACTCCATGCTCCACGCTCCACGCTTTACACTCCACACTCTACACTTTAGACTCTTCCCAAAGAGGCAACCTGATCCAGAGAAAAACAAAAAACACTTTAATGACTTTAATGTGCAAAATGGTTTACTTCATTACAATGGTCGATATGGGTTTCAAAATGTAGCCAAATCCAAGAAGAAAACACACCTTGGAAAGCAAAATGCATCCAGTAGAATGCTTCGACAGACAATGCAACATTGCAATGGAGAAGTTCAAGTCATGAATTCACCCTATTCATCTACAAAGGCTACTTTACTTTGAAGGGAAGGCAACCTCGGAGTCTTAGGATGTGGAGTAACCAGGTGGCAGTCGAGGAACTGCAAGAAAACAAGAGTTAAGCTGTACCCCCTTGTGTGGCAGTGTGTAAATCACACAAACAACTGGACAATAAAATAAATGTGTGTCTGCTGCAAATACCACGAAAAAAAACTCAAGGTAGGCCCTGGTGGGGGGGAGTGACCAATTATATATATATATATAATTATAATATGTACGTATCAAGAAGAACAACAACAAGACTCAGAAGAGAACAAATGACAAGGATAACAATAACAAAAACAGCTGCAAGGGCATTTGTCAACATTTGCCAAGCCCACCAGAGATACTGCCACAAACAATTTTCATGGGATTGGTCAAAAGGCCTGAAGTCCAAAACCCGGAAATATTCAGGCAACTCCTCCAAATATTGTTTTGTAATCAAGTTGTAATTTGGGGCAATTATGCCACCATCCTTTCACGGTATTTTAGCTTCAGCTTTTCTTGTTCCGTGGCCAGGAATTTGTTTGACTTCATTTGCTTGCTGCTTTCTTTGGCCGATCTGGTGATTTACATCTATGTGGAAATAAGCCAGGTTCCGAAATGTCGAAAACCGAATGGAAGGGGAAGGTGTAAATCTTTGGATTGCTGGTTTTGCGGTTGACAGTGGTGTTTTTCATCAAATGAATTTGATTGACACCAGCGGCAGTTCCTCAGTTGAGCTTGTTGCATCAAGGAGTGGAATTGTGCGTGTGTTGACAGCTGCGCTTGCCAAGCTGTCCAGTCCAGCCAAGTATTTCCATCCTTGGAAGGTTGAGAACCCGTTCAATTTGCAGACACTGATGCTGGTCAAAATGCTGCGTTTGGCTCGCCTTGCCAGACTGATCAGAACTCTGCGGTTTGCAATCTTTTGAAGCTTGTTTGCATTTTGACCCTGACTATATCAATTCTTGCCCCACCATCTAGCGACAGCAACTGAATGAGTGATGTGCATGACTGCTGTATGTAGAGTCTCCTGATATCTACTGACTCTCAGCCAATGTGTGGTTTGAATGTGATTCCAAATTCTTTCCCCGAAAGTTCAGTCTATGTCTGTTGGCGGCATCAAATGGCATCAGTGATTCGCTGATCGCACTGCCTAGATGAGCTGAAGCTCATGGTCCTTGGTGTCATCAGCGGTATGCGGGTGCTGGCGTGGGCATTGGTACTTTTGGTCCATGGTTTGCAAGTGGACATCAAAACAACAAATCCCAAGGGTGACGGGCATCAAAGACACGGGGTTGGCGCTTTTAGGTGATGCCTAAGCAGCAAACACATTGTGTGGTTTAGCATGAAGTTGCTTTCTGGAGACTTGCCGCGTGCAGCCAAGGCTCTGCTGATTTATGCAGCTGCAATTGCTACCACAAGCATCTCACTCAGCAGTTGATGCGTATTTTTCTGCCGGAACCAGGGATTGTTCCCCAGATAGTGAAGCTATTGGGGTTCTTACTTCAAGTATAAGAAGAGTTGCATGTTTGCATTTTGGAGCTTGGTTGCTGGTGCCGCTGCAGAGTGCAGCCGCTGCAAGAAGCTGCTGTCGGAGCGATTATTTTTGCTTTGGAGCTTGGTTGCTGGTGCCGCTCCTGCACAGGGGTGCCGCTGCAAGGTGCCGCTGCAAGGCGCTGCTGTCAGATTGCTATTGCGCTTTGGAGCTTGCTTGCCGCTCCCGCTGCAAAATGCCACTACTGCAGGGTGGCAGTGCAAGGTGCTGTTGTCAGAGCCCTGTTTGCGCTTTGGAGCTGGTTGCCGCTGCAAGGCGCTACTGCTACCAAGGTGTTGTTTGTGCTTTGAAGCTTGGTTGCTGGTGCCGCTCCCAAGGCGCTGCTGTGAGAGCTGTTTGTGGTTTGGAGCGTGGTTACTGGTGCTGCCGCAGGGTGCTGCTGCAAGGTGTTGCTGCAAGGTGTTGCTGTCAGCGTGCTGTTTGCGCTTTGGGGCTTGGTTGCTGATGCTGGTGGTGGTGGTGGTGGTGCTGCTGCTGCTGCTGCTGTAGAGCTGCAGAGTGCCGGCGCAGGGTGCCGCTGCAAGGTGCTGCTTTCAGAGTGCTATTTGTGCTTTGGAGCTTGGTTGCTGATGCCGCTACAGGGTGCCGCCAGAGGGTGCCGCTGCAGGATGTCCCTGCAAGGTGCTTATTTTGGAGCTTGGTTGCGGGTGCCGCTGCAAGGTGCCGCCACAGGGTGCGGCTGTCAGAGTGATGTTTGTGCTTTGGAACTTAGTGCTGTTTGTGCTTTGGAGCTTGGTTGTGAGTGCCGCAGCATGCTGCTGTGCCGCTCCCAGAGTGCTGTTTGCGCTTTGAGTTTGGTTGCTGGTGCCGCTGCAGGGTGCCGCTGCAAGCAGGGTGCTGTTTGTGCTTTTGAATGCTGCCCACACATGTCTTTTGCTCTGGCGTCTCTGCGGGCATTATTTTTTTCAAATTGGCTCTTAGCAGGAGGGACAGATTATCTTAAAAGTAGTGGACAAAAGCCAGTCAAACATATGCCATTGCAAAGTTGTATATAGTGTTACTCTTTTGGCAACAATCGAGGCCCCCGCACCTAGTGATTCTGGAAACTAACGAGGCCGAGAATAGACAGGAGCATCCGTGGGAATTCCATGGCAACTTTCTTTCTGCAACATAATCGGACAAAGCATGACAAGACCTTTTTTCTCATACATGGTTTGGTTTCGAGACAGAACTGAGAAAACAAACTTAGCACCTGCTTGCAAACGTAACGATATGACCGCAGCAAAAAAACAACTGGACCTAGATTTGCATATCCCATGTTTCCTCTACGACTTCTGAAAAGTAAATGTGTGCCATTTGTACATTTTTGGGTTGAGTCTGGACTGTCGCCTTTTTTGTGCCACGGAATCTCACGCCCCACAGAACCCTGAAAACTATATAACATATTATATACCTGAATAGAAATTTCGCCCGAGGGAACAAGACCTGACCAAAGCAAACTGCAGAGACTTGGATTTTGCATGGATTTGCATTTTTTTCCCTTGACAACTTCCAAAGGTGAAGCACTGAAAATGGAATATGTTTGGTTGGGTCTGGACTGTGGTTTTTTTTGTATCATGCCTGGAAACTAACCAGGCACCTGATGGGATATTTTGCCAGGGGAAAGAGGACGTAACATAAGAGACAAAAATTGCGGCTTTGCATGAAATTGGGATGTTTGTTTCCTCTGCAACTTCAAGATGTAAAGAGGTGCCAGTTGGACATTACATGAGTTGAGTCTGGACTGCAGGAACTTTTGTGCACCATGGAGTCTCATTCGCCACAGAACACCAAGAGGCAAACCTAGCACCATCTAGCACCTATTAGTAGGATATTGGTTGAAGGGAAGCTGAGACGTGAGCAAAAATATGAAAAAAAAGAAACTTCGATTTGCATGAATTTGGGGACCATTTTTCCTTTACAACTTCAAGCTGTACAAGCGCGCCGTGTGGACCTTTTTTGGTTGAGCTGGGGGGCCCTTTTGTTCATCATGCAGTCTCACGCACCCCAGGAACTTGAAAACTAACGTAGCACCTAGGTGGATATTTCGCCGGGGAGGTGACATGAGGTAGCGCACAGGCTGCGGGATTATACTTCAGTTTTTCTGGGCATCTTTTTTTGCGTTTATTGTTGCATTTTATTGATATCTTGTCACTTTGCCTGTTGAGTTTGCATTTGCGCATGGCCCTGGCCTCGAATGTCTGCAACATGACCTCTGTACGGGGAGCAAGCGGCCATCAGTCAAGCGAAGAGATTACCATTCCTGTTTGAAAAGAAGAAGAAAGTGAACGAAGTCAAAGCCGTTTGACATCGTTTGATGAGCAGCTTGCTTGTTGTGGTGGTCTGAAGCTGCAGCCAAGGCATGTTTGGAGGTGACGAGAGAGTACCAGAGATGAGATCACTGAGTAGGTCATGGCTCCTTGCCCGACAGACCATCAAATCTTGTGGCGCTATATGGCAAGATCCAGTTGTGACTTTTGGAGCACCAAAGATCCTATGAACTCTTGTGGCGCTTCTCCTTCAGCTGGCGTGGTTGCCAGTTCAAGTGGTGAGTAGTGCTCACATTAGTCCAGTGATGTCTCCAGGTTTACACTTTTTCGCTGCTTCACTGATGGTTGTGCTGCCTACGACGGCACTCCGCTCTCAGAAAGGCTATATGACATTTATGGTGGCTTGGCACAGCCCCTGGTGGACATCCTACCATCTGAATAACAGCACTTTGTACTTTTTTGTATTCTGTTGAGATCGAAGGATAAGTACTGGAAGGCTACAAAATCAAGGTTGAAGGTTTGAGAACTACTCGGTTGGCGTGTGAAGGGACAGGTATGGGATGGAGATGCTTGTTGACTCTTGGAAAATGGCACAGCTTTGCTTCGTACCAATGACCAGTTTCTTTCTGGGGAGACAAATTTCTTTCCAGCTGCCCTTTGAAACCTAAGGAGGGTGGTGGGTGGTGCCATATGTCCCTCAGCCGCTGGTAGAATGCTTTCATCGTTCATGTTTTAATTGAGGCACAGACACAGAAGGTTTGCTCCTGGCCTGGATCGTGGATGCCAAGGTTTTCCTTTTTGTCAGCATCACCTTGGGCTTGTTTAATCTTATCATGGCGATCTTCATTGACAACGTTGCTCCTCAGACACTGCTGCTGCTGATGACATAGAGTCGTTGGGGCAGAAATGTTGCAGCCACTGCTGCAGGTCATGGCCAGTCAGATGCAGCGGAAGCTGCAAGAGATCTCCAACACAGCCAAGAGCGTCGAAATTGATCTCAAGGACACTATGTTGTGCTCAAGACATTGCGAAGTTTGAACAAAATTGAAACATTGACAAGAAGACAAGGAAAACGTGAACACCGGACGCAGAGTTGTATACACTGCATGAAGTTCTTGGGGGAAAAAAGTATCCGAGTCGCTTCGCGACGAGAACCGCCCGCACCCAGAGAATTGGATAGAGAAGAAAGGAGCGGACGTACCTGGCCCAACCAAAGCCGACTGGGGTCAAACTTGGCCGTCCTTGGCAGAGGCGTGGGCCCAACTTGGGCTTAACTTGCGCCGAACTCCGGCCAGTTGCCTGCAACTTGGACCCAGCTTGAGCCCAACTGGGGGCCAACATGGCGCAACTTGGGCACGTTTGGATGCAAGTTGGGCGTTGCATGCGCAACTTGGTCCTGTATGAGCACCTGGGGCCGAAGTTGGGCCCAAGACAGGCCCAATGTGGGCAACATGGCCTTGCGCGCGCCCTCAGCAAAGCCAAAAAACGTTGGAAATAGCGGTAAGCATGCAAGTTTTCAACGTGTCGCAGCATTGAGTCCGTAAATTGGGCCGGGTTGGGCCCAACTTGGCCCAACTGAGGCCCAAGTTCCGGTATCCTGTTCGGGCAATGTTATGCCGATCTTCAAAATGTGCAAATTACCGCGGCAGCTGAAGCTGTACCAGTGACAAATCTGTCGTCCGGTTGCTTCCACTCCCAAACTATCACGCCTCGGCACCTTCTGTGCGGGCGGATTTTAAGTCTAGGTCTAGGCGTCAGAGACACTAGAGAGAGACCCGTTACCTACCTCCCTGTTTACCTACCTGTCTATCCGTCTATCCGTCTATCCATCTATCATCTACCTATCTATCTATCTATCTATCTGTCTGTCTGTCTGTCTGTCTGTCTGTCTGTCTGTCTGTCTGTCTGTCTGTCTGTCGATTTATCCATCTATATTATCTATCTATCTATCTATCGATCGATCGATCTATCTATCTATCGATCGATCGATCGGTCCACCTGTCTATCTGTCTGTCTGTCTATCTATCTATCTATCGATCGATCGATGGATCGATGGATCGATGGATCGATGGATCGATGGATCGATGGATCGATGGATCGATGGATCGATGGATCGATCGATGGATCGATGGATCGATGGATCGATGGATGGATCGATCGATCTATCTATCTATCCATCTGTCTGTCCATTTATCTATCTATGTGTCTGTCTATCTATCGATTGCTCTATCTAGCTATCTATCTATCTATCTATCTATCTATTTATTTATCTATCTATCTATCTATCTTACTTATTATCTATCTATCTATCTGTGTGTCTGTCTGTCTGCCTATCTGTGTATCGATCGATCTATCTATCTAACTGTCTATCTGTCTATCCAACTCTCTTTCCGTCTGTCTGTCTGTCTGTCTGTTTGTCTGTCTATCTATCTATCTATCCATCTATCTATCTATCGATCGATGGATCGATCGATCGATTTATCTATCTATTTATCGATCGATCGATGGATCGATCTATCTAGCTATCGATCTATCGATCCGACGATCTATCTATCTCTCGATCTATCTCTCGGTCTATCTATCTGTCTATCTGTCTATCTGCCTATCTGTCTGTCTATCTATCTATCTATCTGTCTATCTATCTATCTATCCATCCATCCATCTATCTATCTATCCATCCATCTATCTATCTATCTATCTATCTGTCTCTCTATCTATCTGTCTATCTATCTATATCTATCTCTATCTATCTATCTATCTGTCTGTCTGTCTATCTATCAATTGCTCTATCTAGCTATCTATCTATCTATCTATCTATCTGTGTGTCTGTCTGTCTGCCTATCTGTTTATCGATCGATCTATCTATCTAACTATCTATCTGTCTATCCATCTATCTGTCTGTCTGTTTGTCTGTCTATCTATCTATCTATCCATCTATCTATCGATCGATGGATCGATCGATCGATCGATCTATCTATAGATCGATCGATCTATCGATCTATCTAGCTATCGATCTATCGATCTATCGATCCGTCGATCTATCTATCTCTCGATCTATCTCTCGATCTATCTATCGATCTGTCTATCTGTCTATCTGTCTATCTGTCTATCTATCTGTCTTTCTGTCTGTCTATCTATCTATCTTTCTATCTATCTTTCTATCTATCTATCTATCTAGCTAGCTAGCTAGCAACCTACCTATGCACCTCATCTTACCTTATGTATCTGATTCGATCATGTCTTGTCTTGTCGTGTCTTATTTGATCTTATCTACTCTGAGCAACTCTTATCAACTCTGTCTAATCCAACTTCATCCTTTATCAAACATTTCCAATCTTGATCGAAAACCATCTGCTCTGTTCCGTTGTTATCTACTATTATTTGCTGTTATCTGTTGCTTTCTTCTCTTCTCTGATCCATTCATATCTCTTTCCTATCAGCTCCTGTCTGTTCCGATCTGTTCCCATCTATTCCGACCTATTCCCATCTCATTCCTGTCTATTCGTCTGCTATCTATTCCTATTTATCCCTAACTGTTCCTACCTATATCTATTCCTTTCTATTTTTTAATTCCTATGTTGTCCTTTCATTCTTGCTTTTTCTTTCTATCCCAGTCTAACCTATTTATTCCTATCTTTCTACTTGTTCCACCCCGCTTCCATTCCATTCCAGTCCATTCCGTGCCATTCGTTCCATTCCATTTCATTCCATTTCATGCCGCTCCATCACTTCTATTCTGTTGTAGTCTAGTCTAGTTACTAGTTACTAGCCTACTCTATTCCATTCTAGTCTCCTCCGGTCTAGTCTAGTCTAGTCTAGGCTAGCCTAGTCTAGTCTGTTCTACAGTGTTCTATTCTATTTTTCGATATTCTACCAACATTTCCTAATCTACTATACCCTATATGCTACTATATTCTACTATATTCTACCCGTTTTATTCTGTGCTGTTCTAGCTTATCCTAGCTCATTCTATTGCATTCTGTATTCTGTACTAGTGCATTCTTTTCTATTCTATTCCACTCTATTCTAGTCTAGTCTGTTCTATTCTAATGCTATTCTTAGTGTTAATTGTCTTCTGATTCTATTCTGTTCTATTCTGTGCTAGTTAATTCTTTTCTATTCTGGTCTACTATTCTTTTCTATTCTATTTGCATTCTTTCCCTAATCTAATTCTATTCCAATTCTTTTGGAATCATGTTCCAATTCTTCTATTCTAGTTTGTTCTAATTCTATTAGAAATCTGTTTCAGTTCTATTCTAATTCTACTGTAGTTCTATTCTCATATTCACCCCGCTTCGCGTGGGGTGGCCGCCCACACCGTAGGTTTATTCACCCCGCTTCGCGTGGGGTGGCCGCCCACACCGCAGGTTTATTTCGGTCCGTGAGAGGGGCTAAGGGTGGTTTTCCCCCGTGGGGGCTCCCCAAGCTAAGAATTTTCACTTTCACCCCCCGTGGAGGCTCCCCAAGCTAGGGAATTTTCACTTTTCCCCCCGTGGGGGCTCCCCAAGCTAGGGAATTTTCACTTTTCCCCCCCGTGGGGGCTCCCCAAGCTAGGGCATTTTTACTTTTCCCCCCCCCGTGGGGGCTCCCCAAGCTAGGGAATTTTCACTTTTCTCCCCCCGTGGGGGCTCCCCAAGCTAGGGAATTTTCACTTTTCCCCCCCGTGGGGGCTCCCCAAGCTAGGGAATTTTCAGTTTTCCCCCCCGTGCGGGCTTCCCAAGCTAGGGAATTTTCACTTTTCCCTCCCTTGGAGGCTCTCCAAGCTGCGGAATTTCAAATAGCTAGACAACGACGCCTAGATAGTCCCCCAAATCCCGTGTTCTTTGAATGTGTTTCCATGTTTTTGCAATGGTTTCCTTCAAAGCACGGTACTTTACATTTTTGTCGCCATACAACCGGTCGAAAACATCATGTTCGACAATGCTTCCAATTCCCTTATCTCCCCAACCGTTGAAAATACCGCTATTTACAGTGTTTTCTTCAATTTTTCCATGTTCCAATGCCGGTAGCCAACTCCAACATATAATAAGAAATCCTTCCAAAACATTGTTTTTGACAGTGTTTTTCCAATGTTTCCAGTCAAACAGATGGTAATTTACACGTTTTTTGCCATAAAGGCAGTAAATCCTTCCAAGACATTGCTTTTGACAGTGTTTTTGTAATGTTTCCAGTCAAGCATACGGTAATTTACACGTTTTTTGCTATAACGTCAGTCCAAAACACTTGTTTTTGCAGTGTTTTCAATGCTCTGGCATCCAAAAACCCTGCAAAATATTGCTATGTACAATGTTTTTTTCATTTTTGGCCGTTTTTCCATTGCCGGAAAGCTACCAAAATGACCCAAAATTCCATTTCAATACCCTCTTGCGCTCAGACACCCAAAAATCCTCGAAAAATGTCGAAAACCCCACCGTATTCTGGTCTCGGTGCGAAATCGTTTTTGGCCCCCCCCCCCAGCTAAAGCTGATATAGCGACTGCTATATTAACAAATGTCATTGAGCATTTAGTGTTGCTGTTTTGCCCCCCAATAAGCACGCCTTCACCGCCAAAGCGGTGTGGGCGGATTTCGGTCCGTGAGAGGGGCTAAGGGTGGTTTTCCCCCGTGGGGCTCCCCAAGCTAAGAATTTTCACTTTCCCCCCCCGTGGGGGCTCCCCAAGCTAGGGAATTTTCACTTTTCCCTGCGTGGGGGCTCCCCAAGCTAGGGAATTTTCACTTTTCCCCCCCGTGGGGGCTCCCCAAGCTAGGGAATTTTCACTTTTCCCCCCCGTGGGGGCTCCCCAAGCTAGGGAATTTTCACTTTTCCCCCCCGTGGGGGCTCGCCAAGCTAGGGAATTTTCACTTTTCCCCCCCGTGGGGGGCTCCCCAAGCTAGGGAATTTTCACTTTTCCCCCCCGTGGGGGCTTCCCAAGCTAGGGAATTTTCACTTTTCCCCGCCGTGACAGCTTCCCAAGCTATGGAATTTTCACTTTTCTCTCCCTTGGAGGCTCTCCAAGCTGCGGAATTTCAAATAGCTAGACAACGACGCCTAGATAGTCCCCCAAATCCCGTGTTCTTTGAATGTGTTTCCATGTTTTTTCCTTCAAAGCACGGTACTTTACACTTTTGTCGCCATAAAACCGGTCGAAAACATCATGTTCGACAATGCTTCCAATTCCCTTATCTCCCCAACCGTTGAAAATACCGCTATTTACAGTGTTTTCTTCAAATTTTCCATGTTCCAATGCCGGTAGCCAACTCCAACATATATATATATATATAAGAAATCCTTCCAAAACATTGTTTTTGACAGTGTTTTTCCAATGTTTCCAGTCAAACAGACGGTAATTTACACGTTTTTTGCCATAAAGGAAGTAAATCCTTCCAAAACATTGCTTTTGACAGTGTTTTTGTAATGTTTCCAGTCAAGCATACGGTAATTTACACGTTTTTTGCTATAACGTCAGTCCAAAACACTTGTTTTTGCAGTGTTTTCAATGCTCTGGCAATCCAAAAACCCTGCAAAATCTTGCTATGTACAATGTTTTTTTCATTTTTGGCCGTTTTTCCATTGCCGGAAAGCTACCAAAATGACCCAAAATTCCATTTCAATACCCTCTTGCGCTCAGACACCAAAAAATCCTCGAAAAATGTCGAAAACACCACCGTATTCTGGTCTCGGTGCGAAACCGTTTTTGGGCCCCCCCCCAGCTAAAGCTGATATAGCGACTGCTATATTAACAAATGTCATTGAGCATTTAGTGTTGCTGTTTTGCCCCCCAATAAGCACGCCTTCACCGGCAAAGCGGTGTGGGCGGATTTTTTGAACTCTATTTAAATTTTATTGTATAACTTAATTCTAAAAGCCTATTTTAATTCTTTTCTGTTATGATCTAATATGTTCTATTCAGTTCTATTCTGTTTTATTTAGTTCTTTTTGGTTCTGTTCTGTTCTCTTCTTGCAAGTCTATTTTACTTTTGTTCTAATTCCACTTCAATTTTGTTTAAAATCTGTTTTGACTTTATTCAAATTCTATTTTAGTTCTATGAAATTTTTATTCTAACTCAAGATTAATTCTATTATTTATATTTCTACCTAATTCGATTCTAAGGCATTCTAAGGCTATTCTGGTCCTACTCTAATTTTATTCTAATTCTACCGTAATTCTTTTCTAATACGTCTTAAGATTCTATTATGGTTCTTTTCTGAAACTCTATTCTATAATTCTTATCTTTAACCCTATTCTACAGCTCTATCCTACACCCCAATCTAATTCTGTTCTATTCTGTTCTATTCTGTTCTAATTCTATTCTGTTCTGTTCTTTCCTGTCCTATCCAATGCTATTCTATCCTATGCTATTTAGCCTATACTATTCTATTCTTTTCTTTTCTGTACTATTCTGTTCTATTCTACTCTGGGCTAGGCTAGTCTAGTCTCTTCTACTCTAATCTAATGCAATTCTAATTTAATTCTATTCTATTTCTATTTTTATTTTCAATCTATTCTATTCTATTCTATTCTATTCTGTTCTAGTCTAGCCACTCTAGTCTAGTCTAGTCTAGTCATTCTGTTCTGTTCCGTTCTGTTCTGTTCAGTTCTATTCCCGTTCCTTTTCCTATTCCTATTCTCTATTCAATTCTTTTTTCTCTATTCCTTATTCTCTGTTCTCTATTCTCTCTGCCCTCTTCTCTTTTTTCCATTCTAGAGTCTACATACTGCATTCTACATTTTATATTCTACAGCCTACATTCTACATTATATTTTCTACATTGTATATTCTATATTCTTTTTTCTTTTTCTATATTATTCTATTCACTTCTCTTCAGTTCCATTCAATTCTATTTCATGCTAACTGTCATTCTACTTCTAATGCTAGTTCTGAGTTTAATTCCAGTTTTAAGTGTATTCTAATTCGATTCTTTCCCATTCTATTTTTTCTATTCTATCCTAATTCAATTTACTTGTACGCTGTTCTAATTTAGTTTGAATCTTTTCTATTCTGTTTTGTTCTATTTGATTTTAAATTCAATTCAAGTCTAATCTATTCTTCCAATTTCGTATCAGTTCTCTTCCACGTCTATTCTATTTCTATTCAAAGTCTATTCCCATTCTATTCTAATTTTATGCTAGGTTTTTTCTAATTCCCCCAACAGCGTAAGCTAGTGGGGGCTTCAGCCCAGAATAGCTCCGGTGTGCACTGGTGCAGGCGCCGGGTCAGGTTCAACGAGGTTCCGGAAAAGGTTCCGAAGGTTCCGAAGGTCTGGGAGGCTTTGGTGCAGCCAGGTCAGGTTCAATCCGGAGAAGGTTCCGGAGAAGGTCTGGGAGGCTTTGGTGCAGAGCCAGGTCAGGTTCAAAAGGGCCTTGTCAGCTTCAACAAGGTTCCGGAGAAGGAAGGTTCCGGTGAAGGTCCGGGAGGCTTTGGTGCAGAGCCGGGTCAGGTCCAACAGGGTTCCGGAGAAGGTTCCGGAAATGGTCTAGGAGGCTTTGGTGCAGAGCCAGGTCAGGTTCAACAGGGTTCTGGAGAAGGTTCCTGGAGAAGGAGGCTTGGTGCAGAGCCAGGTCAGGTTCAACAGGGTTCCGGAGAAGGTTCCGGAGATGGGAGGCTTTGGTGCGGCCAGGTCAGGTTCAACAGGGTTCCGGAGAAGGTTCCGGATAAGGTCTGGGAGGCTTTGGTGCAGAGCCAGGTTAGGGTCAACAGGGTTCTGGAGAAGTTTCCAGAGAAGGTTCCAGGAAGCCTTGGTGCAGAGCCAAGTCAGGTTCAACAGGGTTCCGGAGAAGGTTCCGGAGAAGGTGTGGGTTTGGGTGCGGAGTCAAGTCAGGTTCAACAGGGTTCCAGAGAAAGTTCCGGAGAAGGTGTGGGAGGCTTTGGTGCAGAGCCAGGTTAGGTTTAACAGGGTTCCGGAGAAGGTTCCAGAGAAGGTTCAGCTGAGGTGTTTTCAGCGCTTGGCTTCGCAGCACGTTTCAGAAAGATTTGTAAAAATAAAATGTCGCGGCTGTTGGGGATACCACCGAAGCTTATTTTAAGTCTAATTTTCGTTCTTTAATCTTATTGATTTAAATTCTAATTCCATGTTTATTCTGTTTTACATTCCAAAGACCAACTTCTTTGGCAAGAACATGTAGGATCGATACATCGACCGACCAGGGTTTTCGCACACAAGTGCAGCCTTTGAGCCAAAAGGAGAGCCTCTTGAGACTAACCTTGCAAAGCAAATCCAACGGCGTGCCGCCGGACTGCTGCTGCACTGGGGGAGGGTAGTGGACGAAAAATTGCAGGATTCAGTTTTCCACAGTGTATTGGGCCATTGTTCGCGACCTTCAGGATGTGGAGAAAGAGATCATGCACATGGACGATCATTATCACAACCACCTGGCAAGAGTGCGAGCAAAATTTGATCTCTTGGTTAGTGCGGAGGCGTGGTCCAACATTTCATGCGGCAGTTTGCTGAATTTTTTGATTCCGCCATGTGGAAACGTAGTTGTACTGTCTCAATTGGCAGATCGTGGTCACGAAAGCGGCATTTTTATCCTGGTTGAAGGACTGACTCTTTCAATCTGTGGCCACACTGAGCCTAAACTCTACGGAGATTTTTGGACATCCGCCATATCAAAGAATAGGTACAAGAACCCAAAGAACTAGTTGTTGCAAGTGCTGGGTGATTTCAGAATTCAACGCAAACGCACAATTTGCCGGATAGTCACAACGGTTTTTGATTTGATTTTCTAGGTCTAGGTTTTCTTCAAACGTTTCTTTACAATTACCCTGCAGGATCCTGGATTTGTGGCTGTACTCAAGGATGCAGACATTGAGACTGCGAACGAGTCAGGCACGGTCAGCTGGAGTCCGAACATCAAAGGCACCAGATTGTGACAGCTCAGGTGGCCCAGGTGGCCATAATATTCAATGTCGCTTGAGCCCCCCAGGAATCTATGAAGTTTTGGATGCCGATATGCTGCTTGAACCAGTGAGAAAGGGGGAACTTGTTCATGAACGTTGCCAATACATTCTACACAATAGATTATGATGATCACAATGGTGATGATTCATGACAATGATCGTATCATCAATGGGCCGGCACTTGCCCTTGCGTACTCCATCAACTTGAGGAGGTGTTTTCATGTACCTATCTTGATGAGAAACGCAGCACAATGCAAAACTTGAACGCCAAGTTGCTGGCTCATAGCATCGCATGGGATGGAGGTGAGATCTGCTTGCTTTGACTTTCTCCTAAATCCTGCAAAATCTGCTGGGTTTCTGCCTTTTCTCCTTGCATTTCTCTTGCCTTTTCTGGTCCAAGGAGCAACACCCTCAGTATAGACGAGGTCTACGTTGGCTTGATGAGGTGCACTTAACTGTGCTGCTTGAATAGAGCATATATCTAGAATATTCTAGAATACTCAACAGAAGACAATACAACTACAACATATATAATGTACATTACATTATACTCAACAGAAGTCATTTAGGTATACACAATCCACAAAGCGTATGCAAGATTGGTACATCTCTCTACAGAGCATTACCGCTGTCTACAGGGGATGAAACTATTTCAGCTCTTGGCTGTGCAGGTTGAGAGGTCCTATCGCCAAATCGGAGATCGTCGGCCTTATTTTGAGATCGGGATGTCTCGGGACTTTGAAAAAACGCAACCTATTGTTTCTGAATCCCTTCACTTACACTGAATGTGGAAAAGACATACCATATGCCGGTTGGGCAGTATAAAATCTCTATCTCAGAGAGAAGGAAGGTTTACACCAACTTCTGAGACTGGATAAGTGAGCCCTGCTTTTTGGAAAGAGGAGCTGGCTTGGGAATGGTAGGGCCTGGGGCATTTGATTCCGTGAAAGGCTGCGGCATGTGACCACGCTGATTGCTGAGATGTCTCGCAAGCAAGAGTAAGTCATTCCTGAAGTCCTCAAAGACTCAAAGACGTTCTTCGAATTCCATACATTGAAGTGATTCGAGGGTTTCAAACTTACTCAATGAATCCTGAACTTCCCATATTCTATCCAGTACCTTCTGGAACAGACAAGAAACTCAAGATGAAAAGGCATGATTCCACAGTTCTAAGTCTGGGTGTGCTGTGCTGTGCTTGGGCACGGCTACCTGCGCAATACTTTTTGCATTTTGGCCAAAGGCTGCGAAGGATGCCTGTCACTGTTGAGCAACCCGCGCCAACAACCCCCCGGCGCGCCGTGCGTGGCGTCGGCATGGCCTGTCCCGGAACGGAAGCAGCATAGATTTGCACCACCCTGATCCACCCTGTATATTCCGTGCCAGGGCCGCGGGAAAGAACCGGGAGAGGCAGCCAACCACGCACCACCGCGCGCGAGAACCTTCTCAAGACCCTGCTCGTCCACCAACATCCTTGGTGAAGGATCAGGTGAATCTGCTAAGCAGATGGAAACATGTTGATAATGATACCTGCCCTGTGGGCAATACCTTGGTCAGCTTTTCAGAAAAGGTGGGTCTCTCTTTGCTTGTGAGAGTTTTGTGCAAAAGAAGATGCACTTCGAAGGACGGATTGGTTTGAAGAAGGTGAGTGCGCAGCCGCAAAGCTCTCCAGTCCTTTACAACTCAACCTCATGAACTTGACTCAGAAAGGGTGCAACGGCCTGTTTGATGTTGTGACGTTTTATTCGCTATCGACAATCTCTTGCGAAGAACGGCAGAGTCAAGACATCTCGAACCAATCAAAGGCCACATTTTTTGTTTCCGAGGCACACCAAGGCACATTTATCAAGCTGTTTTTAAGATCTGGTGTTTTTTCCCGAGAGCGTCTGAGCGCAGGGTTCTTCCAATAGTGGGGGTCTGTATCTCATCTTCTCATCTTCACACCTTCTCATCTTCACACCTTCTCTCACACCTTCTCATTTTCACATCTGCTCATCTTCACATCTTCTCTCACATCTGCTCATCTTCACATCTTCTCTCACATCTGCTCATCTTCACATCTGCTCATCTTCACATCTTCTCTCACATCTTCTCTCATCTGCTCATCTTCATATCTTCTCTCACATCTGCTCATCTTCACATCTGCTCATCTTCACATCTTCTCTCACATCTGCTCATCTTCACATCTGCTCATCTTCACACCTTCTCTCACATCTTCTCACCTTCACATCTTCTCTCCTTTCTCTCTCCTTTTTCTCTCTCTCGCCTTCTTTATCTTTCTCTCTTTAGGCCGAGGGTGGTACCGGCGGTGAGTCACGAAACGTCAACCCTTTCGCACGAAATGAGGGTCGATCGGCAAAAACTGAGGTAAAATTGCGATTTAACTTGTCCTGGAGCAACCCTTCCGCACGAAATGAGGGTCGATCGGCAAAAACTGAGGTAAAATTGCGATTTGACTTGTCCTGGAGCAACCCTTTCGCACGAAATGATGGTCGATCGGCAAAAACTGCGGTAAAATTGCGATTTGACTTGTCCTGGAGCAACCCTTTCGCACGAAATGAGGGTCGATCGGCAAAAACTGAGGTAAAATTGCGATTTTACTTGTCCTGAGGGTCGATCGGCAAAAACTGCGGTAAAATTGCGATTTTTCGTGTGCTGGAGCAACCCTTTCACACGAAATGAGGGTCGATCGGCAAAAACTGAGGTAAAATTGCGATTTTTCGTGTGCTGGAGCAACCCTTTCGCACGAAATGAAGGTCGATCGGCAAAAACTGAGGTAAAATTGCGATTTATCGTGTGCTGGAGTAATCCTTTCGCAGGAAAAGGGGTTTGTGTGTACGAGCGTTTCTGTGTAAAGATGTTTGTGTGTAAAAGTGATTGCATGTAAAATTGCATCTGTTTAAACGTGTTTGTGCGTAAAAGCTTCTGTGTGTAAAAGTGTTTGTGTGTAAACGTGTTTGTGTGTCGGAGTGTTTCGGTGGAAAGATGTTTGTGTGTAAAAGTGTTTGTGTGTACAAGTGCATCTGTGTAAAAGTGTTTGTGTGTAAAAGCTTTTGTGTGTAAAAGTGTCTCTGTGTAAAAGGGTTTGTGTGTAAGAGTGTTTCTGTGTGAAGATGTTTGTGTGTAAAAGTGTTTGTGTGTAAAAGTGTCTGTGTGTCCAAGCGTGTGTGTGTAAATGTTTCTGTGTGTAAAGGTGTCTGTGTGTAAAAGCTTCTGTGTAAAAGCTTCTGTGTGTGCAATCTTCTGTGTGTAAAAGCCTCTGGGTGTAAAAGCATCTGTGTGTAAAAGGTTTTCTGTGTGTAGAAGTGCATCTGTGTAGAAGTGTCTGTGTGTAAAAGCTCTTGTGTGTAAAAGTGTCTGTGTGTAAAAGGGTTTGTGTGTAAAAGTGTCTGTGTGTAAAAGTGTTTGTGTGTAAAAGTGTTTGTGTGTAAAAGCGTCTGTGTGTAAAAGTGTTTGTGTGTAAAAGTGTTTGTGTGTAAAAGTGCCTGTGTGTAAAAGCGTCTATGTGTAAAAACTTCTGTGTGTACAAGCGTTTGTGTGTAAAAACAACTCCTGTGTGTAAAAGGGTCTGTGTGTAAACGTGTCTGTGTGTAAAAGTGTCTGTGTAAAAGCGTCTGTGTGTAAAAACTTCTGTATGTAAAAGCTTCTGTATGTAAAAACTTCTGTGGGTAAAAGCTTTGTGTGTAAAAACGTCTGTGTAAAAGCTTCTGTGTGTAAAAGCTTCTGTGTGTAAAAGCTTTTGTGTGTAAAAGCGTCTGTGTGTAAAAGTGTTTGCGATGCAAACTATTGTCTTGCACTTCTCACTATTTTGTCTTGATACTCCTCTTCTCGACTGCCTATAACACATCTTTCATATATTGTTTCTAAAATTGTGTCTCCATACTAACAAGAGAAGACCCTGCTCCTCTACGCTCTCGGGCCATCCGTCGTCTAGTTTTGTGTAGGGAAGTAGGGACAGTCATTTCTCCACAGTTTTGCTCGTCGAACCTGTCTTTGACTTGGCTTGCCATGCCGCGACCAGCAACCGATGCTGATGAGCTCCGTGGCAAGCAAAACGCAACATCACGGTCTCCCAGCAAAGAACGGTCTCCCAGCAAAGACTCGACACATAAGGCGCAGTAGGGACAAGACTGGCGTTTATTCAGGGCGTTAGCTTTGTTCTGTAATATAGATAGTAATTGATGTGGGAACGACAACGAATTGAGAAGCTAAAGGTCAGTTTCTGTAGCGGCTCACGTGCAAATGGGAAGCCGAAAAGTTCTGCATGCATTTGTTGCCTATTGCCTCATAGTGTGAGTTTTCGGACACATTCGAAAACACTTTCTTGCGCAAGGAGTTCTAATTTTTCCCGTCACAGGAAACCATACACTTGCCATACACACTTGACAAGTCTATTCCAGGAATTTCTGCACGAAAGGAAACAGGTGCAAAGGGAACTGGAAGCCCTGCAGGATGCTGCAGATATTGCCCGTCAGTTCGACCAGCACCTGAAAGGCTTGGCAGCAATGTTGCTTGGCAATTCTTGGGAGTTGCATTATGCTTGGCCATCGTCCGGTGCTGTGAAGTTTAATGAAGTTATATAGTATCTTCTCAGAATATGGGTGGTTGTTTCCAGCACTTCCATTTCAGCAGTAGCTTTATCTTGCAGCCGAGGTTCAACAAGCTGCAATTTCAGCATCAGCATGAACTTCCACAAGCTGTTTTGCCACCAGTTGAACCTCCAAGGATATCTAACTTTTCGTGCCTCGGCCAAGATCGCTGCACGAATCTCTTGCCGTGGATGCCATCGAAGATTGTGCGATTAAAATACCAACTGAACCGCCCCTCTCACTATGGTGTGGAGATGGAAAAGCAACGTGGTATCCGACATGTAGTGCCAGCAATCAGCACAAGGCCGTTGAGGTCGGGCTCTGTACTCGGCAAAGATATCTCTGCTGTTTGACAAGTGCCATCAAGTGCCATCAAGTGCCAATGTTTGAGATTTCAGGACTTTCTATGGTCTGACCGGAGCCCCGGAGGGATGGCACGAGAGAGGAAAGGCTTACAAAACTGTGAAGTGAGCATTGGGATTACCGTATGCTTTTACGACTTTTATGATTTCACTGATTACGCGCACTTGAATCCTGTTGATGTGAGCATTGGAGTGTGATACTTGTGGAGGAAGATTTCCCTAGATATCGAGGCCCAAACATGGGGATAGGACACGATAGGACTGCAATATGGTCTTGTTCTGGAGTTCACTTTCCTTGGTGAAGTTCTGATGTTGTCTCGTCCCGGTGGGTCTTACAAATCTGAAAATCTCCGCCCTCTGAGGCAAGCAAGGATGTGCTTCCGAAGACAGAAGCCCACATAAGGCCAATTCTCTGGAGTTTTGGGGAATCAAAAGGATCTTGAGTGCAATTGCGAGTCTTTCTATTCATAAGTCCCTGTTATGGAGCTTCTCGGTGACAGTTCCTTGAAGGTTCCAAGTTTGACATGGCAAATATTGAGTGAAGTGTGATTTTCGAAGGTGCTTCAGAAAGATTGGGAAATGAACAGCTCCTGCATTGCATATACGGCTCAAAGAAAGTTTCCACATCGTCCTTCTACAATTTTGTTTGTTTTCAAGAAGCTCCAAGCTGGTATTTCTCATGGAAAGAAAGGCTAAGATTTGGGAGAGCCTGAAGACTGCAAGCGAAAGGCTTGAGAAAAATGATGCAGCTACAGCAGAAAGATTCATACAAATGCTTGAGGCGCTGGGAAAGATGGATCCGGCCGCACTCAAGCGATTTTTGGACTCTTGCCCTTGCCCAGCTGAATCGGTCCACTGCGTGCTTGGAGCAGCGCTTGTGATCAGTTGCTTTGCAGAGCCCATTCCTCCCATTCCTCCTAGTCTTGATGAAGAGCAAAGTGATGAAGAGCAAAAGTACGCAGAATTAGTGAAGGAAGATGAAAAAAATAAGAACGAGTACGAAAGGCTAAGGTGCCAAAAGGAAGTTAAGCTTGTTGCAGATGCTTTTGAGGCGGCCACTGGTAAAGTGGCCATCATCAAGTTTCAGCCGAGTCGGGATGAGTTTTATGAGCTCATCGAAGAATGGATTAAGCTGATGACTCAGCAGGCAGGGGAAGAAGGAAGCAAAGACTTCCTGTTTTACTATGCTGGTAATGGCTGTGAGTTTGACCGGGATCGTGTGTTCCGGTTCATACCAGCAGATGCCAAGCGAACAGAGGACTACATCCCACTGCCAGGCATCATAGCCAAGATTGAAGCTGAGTCAAAAATCACAGGCTGCAAAGTGGTCTTTGGAATTGATGCCTGTCGCAGCAACCTTGAGGACGAGGTCAGTGCGGACATTCAGGAGCGTTGCCACAACAACGAGTATCTTAGGTTCTTTTCAACTCCGTCTGGGCATTCTGCAGCACATGATATAGACGCTGAAGAGAGCCCCTTTGCTCGAACCATGGCACAGTCCATTCCCCGCATCACCAGTAGCCATGAGATTTACGCTGTCCTGGATCAGGCCTTGGTGGTGTGGTAACATATGTTTCTTGTTATTTCTTGATCCTGGCAATGGGGTTACAGTAATCACCTGCAAAATCCTCAACCTTGACTGCTACGTGGGATCGGCCAATGGGATTGCCATGTGTTTGTGACTTTTTTTGCTGTTTATTTTGATGACCAGTTGGCTTTCGTGTTGTGTAATGCACAACAGGCAGTGTAGTGCAGTGTAGATATTTGATGATATTTCTATACAACCCTTCGTTACCACACTTCTGAGTTTTTCCTTCCAGAGTGGTCGCTTGAAAAAAATACTGCAAAGCACCACATCCAAACGTTTTGACCACATGATGATGTGGTCCCTGGAGGCCATGAAAGCGATTCGCAAAGTGGAACAGCAAGAAGAACCAGTGGTGCAATATACAGACCGCCCGCGTTCAAGCAGCTCCAGTGCCAAGAGTGCTTCGGGCATTTTATCCTCTGTTTCTCTACTCCTTTCCAGCTTGAGGAAATGGGGCTACAGCATTTTTCCGACGACATTAAGTGCAAAGCTTCCAGATTTTGTGGAAGACATCCGGAAATCGCACAGGAGGAGGGTCAACCGTCACACTGCCCCAATCGAGCAGCCCCGGTTTGTCATCCTTGGCAACACAGGATCAGCAGCTGCTGCGGTGGAAGATTTCCAGAAATATGGTATGGGGCCTCATTACCTCATCTCGGAAAAGGGTGATTGCATCCAACTGGTGGAAGAACAGTACATGGCCTGGTGCTGCAATTTTGCCTTCTGGAAGTCAGCGAATATTGGGACACCTAACGATGTCCCCAACAGGATCCCTGGGGTTGGCATCATCAATGAATTGAAGACCTATGCCGTCTCCATTATTTTGGAAGGTGATGGTGAAAAGCCATATGATGATAAGCAATACACCACTCTTGTTTCTTTGCTCAGAGAAATCAGAACCAGGTGGAAAGAGCATGGTGGATTGCCACCATGGAACGTCCTAAGTGCAGGTGAGGTGGAACAACGGCCCCCTGAGTGTCCAGCACCTGGAAAGAGCTTTGACTGGAGCCGATTGGTGGACGAAGGTTTCACCTTGGAGGTCAACGGGGCTCAGACGACTGGAGTGCCCGAAGGCTTAGGTTTTAAGGATGCCCTGCAATCCCGTTTGCGAGAATGGGGTTACGAATTTGGTGATAGCAACAACAACACGGACCTCATGAACCGAATGCGTGCCTTTCGACATCGCTACATCAGGGGCCAGCCAAGTGATCCGTTCCAGGTCGAATTCTCAGAGCAAGATTTTCGCACCATCACTGAACTCTTGAGACTCAGATCACTCAGATCTGCCTCCAAAGCTGAGGTTTGACAACAGACGGGATTCTGCACGCATGCCACAGTATCCTTCCCCTGTTGCCTCCAAGTTCGTACCCAGAAGTCACAAATCTCCCAGCTGATGGCTGTTCTTCTCCGCACTAGTGAGTCGCTGGTGTGAAAAGGGCAGCAGTTTGCGCCTTGGGCATATGGTAAAACTCTGAAACTAGGCCAGGTCCATTGATGCTCCACCGGTTCTGGCAGGAACAGTTGCATTCAAGTTGCTTTTGCAAGTACGTAAGACACGACACCATACGACACCCTTTCACTTCCAGCATTTCAATCAAACTGCTAAACTGCATCAAAGCGCATGGCGCATTTGGCCACTCGCACAGCAAGCAGGCAGATGACCTGGTGAAGGTCCCTCATGACTGACGGGTGGCTGTCCAGAGGCACAAGTTCATCGGCCAAATCAACCAAATCCATCATGAAAAGCAAGACAGTGATTTAGCAATAACCACGCAACCATATTTGGGGGATTAACATGTAGTTGGCAGGGAATTTGATGTGGTGTTCACCAGGTTAGTTACCAGGGTTTTGACTCACCCAGATCCTTTACAGACCAGTTTACGATTCTATGGAAGTGGCAGCAGAGGCTCAATTCAATCGCTTGGACAAAGCTGCAAATGGTCATCTTGAGGAGGAGGATCTCATGGCTGAAACTCGGCTGCAGAAACTGAGAAAGAATGGCTGAAAGCCAGGGCCAGAATAGTGACCTGGACCATAAATGTCTTCCGTTTGGCTTTTATTCTACCATCGCTTTCATGTACTTCACTCAGTCTGGTCGCCGGATCGACAATAACTTTGATGGACCAATGTTCATCCCAGCGAGACGACGGAAGCCAGGCCCCACTCCCCTTTCAGGTCATGCACGAGTTCAACCGTGGCTGGGAACTTCAAGATATTCATGAACTCCTTCGCGAAATCAACAGGCAATTCAACGCTAATGTATGCCTCCTTGCGTTGCACTATTTTATTTCATACTCTGCATTCCCTGTTTCAACATATTTTTCTGTTTGTTCTCCTTGAGGCAGTCATCAGTCACCAAACGGAGATTTTACATTGCAAGAGGGGGCATCCTTCGAACATGCCAACTTTCCTGTAAAAATTTAGGAGCAGGAACCATTTTGCTGATTGCTATATAGATGGTTCAACATGGTTCAAGAGCTTGATGAATACTCACCTGGTTTCTGCTTCATAATTCCTCGTTTTGGACCGCTGCAGGTTTGTGGCTGCGCACAAAAGCCAAATGAGTCCTCATAGTCCTCATAGTCCTCATGGACTATCGCATTCTTCGAGTGCGAGAAACATTGGCAATCGACCTAGATGGCTTTATAGCCCTTGCCTCATTTGTTGGTCAACATGGCCATTGGGACTCTGGACAAACACTCAATTTACATCACTTGACAGGGATGCAACTTGATGCAACATGATGCGAGTTATGATTCTGTGTGGGTATATGTATATATAGTATATACTGTATAAATATATATATATATATATCATAATTATACTGTATATATATATACACATACATACATAATTATATTTACATATTACATATCAAAGTCACCAGACATTGGAGTGTGGCCTTCCTGGGCGGAGTGGGGCGGCCCAGGCTTTGATCTCTTCTGAGCTTGTGGAGGGTGGCATGTGCCTCGATGGCTGCAGCTTGTTTGACTGCTGTCTGCTTGTGTTCAAACTTGGTAGGCCAGATCGACATGAAGTTCTGAAGTGAACACTTTCTCTTAATTCCAATCACCTACATTCCAAGACTTTACACCGTTACATGATCTGTTTTTGCAGGAAGACAGCAGTCCGCCGCGACTGCAAGATCCTCAGAGAGGCATTGAAGGCCGAGATTTATGTCGTGCCAGCTGGCAAGTTGTGCCACCTGGCAAGTGTGTATCATGAAACCGGACCGAGAGGAAACCATTCTTGGCGGGTGCATCTTTCCATGACTTTCAGAACCGGCAGTCAAAAAACAACTACAATTTGTACAATGATGATGGGCACTTTACACAGGCGAACATGGTTCCCAAGTTTTGCCTGAGATTTGCATTGAGGTCATATCCATTGAGTTGGACTGAGAATGTTGTGCTTGTTCATGTTGTCAATAGTGCTGATCCCGTCGCGGAAAAAACAGCATTGGGTTATTCACATACCAACATTTTTCCCAGCATAAGACAACATAAAACAACACATCACAACATATAGCGACATAAAACTATAACGACACATCACAACATATAACAACATATGGATACATATGGCTATAACAACACATCACAGCATATAACAACATATATCTATAACAACCCATCACGACATATAGCAACAGAAAGCTATAACAACACATCACAACATATAACAACATATAACGATTACAACACATCACAAGATATAGCAAGATCTAGCTATAACAAGACATCACAACATATAATAACAACATATAAATATAACACCGAATCACAACATATAGCAACATACAACTATAACATCACATCACAACATGTATCAACATATAACTTTAACAGCACATCACAACATATAGCAAACAACACATCACAACATATAGCAACATGTAACTATAACAACACATTACAACATATAACAACATATCACGATAACAACACAGCACAACATATAGCAACATAAAACTACAACAACACATCACAACATATAACAACATACAACAACACATCATGACATATAACAACATGTAACAACGCATCACGACATATAACAACATGTAACAACACATCACACCATAACAACATATAACAACACATCAGAACATATAACACCATATAACAACACATCACACCATTTAACAACGTGTAGCAACACATCACAACATATAACAACATATAACAACACATCACAACATAACAACATATAACAACACATAACAACATATAACAACACATCACAACATATAACAACTTATCACAACATAGAACAACATATAACAACACATCAAAACATAACAACATACAACAAAACATCACAACATATAACAATATCTACACATAACAACATATAACAACACATCAGACCATAATAACATATAACAACACATCACAACATATCACAACATATCACAACATATCACAACATATATATATATAACAACATATAACAACACATCAGAACATAACAACACATAACAACACACAACAACACATCACAACATATCACAACATATCACAACATAACAACATATAACAACACATCACAACATATAACAACACATCACAACATATCACAACATATATATATAACAACATATAACAACACATCAGAACATAACAACACATAACAACACACAACAACACATCACAACATATCACAACATATCACAACATAACAACATATAACAACACATCACAACATATAACAACACATCACAACATATAACAACCATTTTTTGGCCACACTTTTGGACACCCTCAACGCCTTGGAAGTGTATCTTGCAACCAAGGCCTCAGACTTCCACATGTTGCCCAGATCGTGCATGGGATGTCTGACTGAGTGTCGTCCGAAGTTGGCCTTGTGAAGTATCTTGTATTCGAGTCGCTTCGCGATGAGAACTGCGCGCAGGGAATAGGACAGAGTTTTTTCAGCAGTGCAGCTGCTTCTCACCACTGTTCCGAGGGACGTGGCAAAGCTGTTAATGAAACTTCCTGGCAGATAGGGCCACAGACTGGTCATAGATGGCATAGATGGCCAGAGGTAGTTTGTTGAATCTACCAGAGGTCAATGTGGCGGTCCTGAGTAAATTTGAGCCAACGAATTTGATTGGAATTGGCAAATTCGTAGCTTGGAAGATCATGGAGGCCCCACAGATACGGTGGGAGACTCCCACTAAAGCCAAACAACAAGGATTTTTTGTACTTCTTGGTATTGCTACATCCAAGTTTTATGTGGGTTCTGAGATATGGTAATGTGCGGATGCACTTTGGCAGCCCATCTGTTAGAAATTGCTGATTTGGAAGCATCAGATTGCCTCGAAGTGTTGGCAGCGGACCATTTTTTTTTCTGCCTTGTGACGGGTTTCAAGGTGATTGTGACCCTTTTGTGCAAGGATCCATTCAGTACATACTTGACAAATCTTGGCAACCTTTCCTAATATTTTTGAACTTATCTCGATAGTCAATTTCTAGGTATTTCACCACCAGTGCATGTATGCGCCGCAACCGGACGCGTTTGTGTAAACACAACGAGCCATAGCCCTCGTGTCTCGGCGTGTCTCGCGCCACTGTAGGGTCCCCTCCAGCTCTTGCGGATACAGGGCCATGTTTTTTGCCACACCAATCTAGGCCAATCTAGGCCATCTTTGTTCGTTACCTTAGGCACGTGTGAACATCCTCGGCTTGGCAAAAAAGACCAGAGAGCTGCATGTTGTTCTGCATATTGCGCTGCATGTTGCTTTTTCGCCACGAATTGCAATGTTGAGAGGCCGGTATGCTTTAAGACTTCAAGAGCAGTTGTTCATCGAACATGCAATGGGAACCAATGGGATTGTGCTTCCTGAGGCTTGCAGATCAAGATCAACAGGCCTTTGTATGTCTGTTTCGTTCATGACCTGCAAGTCACAGTAAAGGCTTGGCAAGTTGCGTGTCCAGCAGCAGGTCCTACCAGACTATGATTGAACTTCTTGAGTCCTTTGGGGGACTCTGCTATGAGGAGTGTGGGTGCTGGGATAGGTTCGGAAGATATTGAGATTCCAAAGCTTAGCCGCATGTCTAGTGGGTGCAGGTGCCCAGCTTTGAAATTTTAAATTCACGAAGCCAAAAAAGGATTTCTGACCCAGAATAGTCACCTATCGGACTATCGACCCTAGGAACAGTGACCAAGTGAACATGGACGAATATTGGTCAGGAGCGCTGCTGGCTGCAGGCGGCAAACCAGGCCACATGATGACGGATGACTGGCACATGACCACCGGAACCAGTGGATTCGCCTGAACTTCGCAGGAAGCTTTCGTGTCCTAGCGAGATGGCCTCTCCATGGCCACTAGACAGAATTCACATTGGACCCACAGAAGTTGACTCAAAGCATGGATGTTTTTCTGATACAGGTGAGATATTCAGATGAAAGAAATCCATGCAATGTCTTGAGGGTTCCTGGCTTCTAAGGCGCCTGCTCATGCGAGCTGTATTTCTTAGACAGCTCGCTGGGGACATCAAGTCTTCCCATGGATTTCTGACGCATCATTCCTTGAATGCTGGCATGATGCGACAGAACAAAAACATACTTGATGCCTGACAAGTGCCACCTTCACATGCTTCAAGGAAAGCATACAACTGCAGTATATATATATACACATGTCTTCGTCAGATACAGTGATCATTATCACCACATTCGGAGGTTTGGAAGCGCCTGGGTCTTGATCACTGGGGCTTGTCACAAAGAATTGCACATCCTGATGACTTATCTTCTGCAATCGTTGCTGGATCACGGTGAGACATTTTTGGCTCACCTTGCCTGTAGTAACCAGACAGCACCGCATTTGCGAAAATGCGCGGCGCTCAGCCATTTTGACATATTTTGACCCATGCAATGGCGCTTTGACCCTTTGACCCACCTGATGACAGTTCTACCATGTTCCAGGTACGGCAAAGGTGGCGATGGGTGGAACAACAAAGGCGCCATGGCCGTGGACCAGTGACAGGTCAGTGACAGGTCAGTGACAGGTGGAGAATTTGCCAATTTCGCTGAGAGGCTGGGGGAAGGGCTACCCCTTCGGCTATGGCTTCGGCCCTTGGGATGGTGGCAAGGCGGGGATGGTGAAGTGGATCGCTGAAGCAAGATGCGGAAACGTGTAATATGTAGCTGTCCATGAAATCTGTGTACTCACCCTGTGAAGGTGTGTTTTTTAAAGGATCACGATTCAGAAAGCTTGTAGAGTACATCATTCTAGCATGTCCGATTTGTACCAACAAGAGTCAAGTTGCTGTCCTTTGTGCCAAGCAAGCATGCAGAGATTTGAATTGGGACACAATTGGCATTTGAGCACTGAGCAGCCTTTCTTGATAGATTACGTTTAGGACGATTCCAGCAACATTACGTCTGTAGATGCAGAGATGCGTATTGCCACCTTTCTGGCAAGGGCATGATGATGGGGGCCTATGGCGGAATGATGATGCCACCCATGCTGCATGGCTCGAGCTTTTGTGTACGCTGCGATTCGAAAGCAGGGTGCTAACCAAGCAGTGGTTTTTAAGGCACTTTCCTGAAATCTAATATCATCATCTGAAGACATGCTAGCTTTAGCTTCAGACTTTTGTAGTTTTTTCAAAATATCTCCATGCTTGTGGGACTTTTTGGTAGGAGCTTTGCAGAAAGTGGCTTTTGACGCGTTTGCTGAGGTTTGGTTTCAAAGGCAAGGGAAAGGGCAAAGGCAAGAGTCCCCTGAAGGTCGCCGACAGCTCAGCGGAACTGAATTCCAATTCAAACAGATGACTTGAAAATACACCTGAAAACCTGTTGAAATGCTGTTGAAACACATGACTCATGACACATAAAAAGGTACTGTACGACCCTCAGCACGAGTGCACAATGAACATCATGCAAGGCGGTAGCAGGTTCTGGTTCTTTCGTGAGTGTTGGGCCGGGGTTGAACTAAGGATCCCGACAGGAAGGTGTGGATTGGCAACATCCCCGAGGTGGGACGTACTGATTCACGTGAAATTCACGTACTGTCAGTATCTGTCAGTGATGTACAACGAGCCATGAGTGACAACGAGCCTGACATGGCACGGCCCAGGGCGTCCAATGGAAGGAGTTGCAGACTTTGGTGGACTCGGTGCGCAACATAGCACAGTCAATCATTGATGGGAAGCAACCAGCATTTCAGCAAATGAGAGCATTCAAATGTAATCTATAGAAGATATAGAAGGCCCTGTCATTGCAATTGCAAAGGTTGCCAAGAGCAAATGGGTTGAGATCTTCCGTGGCAAGGGAAAGGGCACCGCTGCCGTCGTGTGCCCTTACTGCAATTGATTTTCAAAAACTCTTGGCAACTCAAGCGGCTGGGAAGATTTGAATTCGTTTGAGGTACGCAACCGCTGAGGAAGCATCGCAAGTAGGGACCCAATTGACTCCAACTTCACGATGCCAGTGAAACTCCACCCTTAGGTGCAGTTTTTGTCCATTTTCTGGAATTCAACTGATTCAACATGATTCAACCATCCAGTTCTGAGGTTGAGTTTGGGTGGTTTGGGGAGTGACTCGAGGCCATCTCTGGACTGAACTGTCAGAGTCTGGGTGGTCAATCCATCGTGGTGGACGCCTGGGAGAAAGGCCTGTGACCATCCCTTTGGGCCGACCCAACTTTGGCCCATCGGAATCTGGTTGTTTGCGACACTGTGAAAGTGGGTGAAAGTGCTGCCAATTTCTGTGATAAATCTTCCTGAAGCAAAATCCGGAGGCACCAAGTGATGAGAAGGACCGGTGAGGACAGGTGTTCGACACCAGCAAGGCAGAATCTTTGTGCTGACAATGTGACAAAAACGATTTCAAGAAGTGGAAGATTGGCAGATGATGTCCCGTGGCCGCTTTGTTGCTTTGGAGGCTTTCTGCCAATGCCCAGAATTCGCTGAGGGCTGAGCTCAATGGCTTTTGTACGAAGATTGTTTGGCGAGGATTTTTTGATATCGTTTGCCAGAATCAGGGGCCATTGTCCTCTTATTGCTGATGATTACTTGGTCACCGAGGATTTCAATTCCACAGCAGGGTTTCGGCGAAACGAACACGAAAGAACGGAGTGCTGAATATGATGGCAGAAAGATGAAGCAAACAGTGAGAGGATAGCAAGATGCGAATCTGAGGGTTGCAATTTCGGGCCAAAAAGCGAGGCACATGCGGCACATACATACAACGCCAGGGGCCCAAACAAGCCCAGTTTCAAGGGCGCCAGACAACACTCATATAACACGCGCCTGCGTGCAACCCTATTTGGCCTCATGGGCCAGGATGTAGAAATAGCAATTCGATGCAAACAGAGGCACGCCTGTGTGGTCTAGTTCAACAAGAAGCCATAAGCACTGTGTGCCTGTCTATGGTTAATTGAATAATGCAAAAAACATCAAGCAATGACACAAACAATCAAGAGGACATCAATTATATACTACAAGATATGGAGCCGAATCAGCAAAGCCTCTGTTTTGCCAGAAACCCCGACCTGTAGTGTTTGTAAATCAGGTTTAGGGTTCCTGCAGGTCCGTATAGAGCCGATCTACCATTTGATGACCCCGACCGCTGTGATCTGGTCCATCAACCTATTTCAACTGACTGATATGGTCCCTGTGGCCAATTTTCGACCGGCTCCATACTGCAGACGTGATGGGTTGACTCAGCTTTCTTACGAATGTATACCTGAGCTGCGTTTGCCACAAAAAGTCGTCTCTCTGACATTTGTGTGTTTCATTTGATGCTTGGCATTATCTGACAATAGTGAATAGTACTCATTGATCACATATTTTCAGCCACCCTGTGCCGCCACTCTTTGCACCTCATCAACGCGTGCGGCCGGTGTGTTCGCAGCTTTGCGTGTGATTCAAGCGATGATGACGGCATAGTGGGCAGCCTTCCACTAGAGGCTGAGGCTGCCCCATCTGCCATGGAGGCACCGCAACATCTTCAGTGATTCAGCACTTTGTCGTTCCAATCTCTACTGAAGTGATAACATTGCAGGCCTTGCGGAGACTTAGTTTGGTCTCCAAAGTCACCATTGAGATTCAGCCATGGACTTGGATGGTACTCCCATTTGTTCAAATCATAGTACATTTGATGCTGCAGGTGCGTGTAAAGTATCCACTTCAATAAAGTAAGCTTCCTGGTTTTGCAACGATCATCCACGTATCTTAGAGTCTTAGAATAGAGGCTGACAAGTTGCACTGTGCAGGGCATCGGCATGTTGCGTGGGTCAGCATGGTCTTAGGAATCACTGGGGCATCGAAGACAAAACGCTTCTCTGGCTAGCTTTGCGGCTTTGCGATTCGGGGCGAACAACAAAATGGCAGGGGTTACATTCAGCCAACTGGGATGCTCGAATCAGTTATTTGTTGTTCCCTATAGAATGACTTTTAAGTCCAAACGAAGAGGCATGCGGCGAATCATGCGTTCATTCAACCATTCAAGACGGTCGGGAATTTGGTGGTTTTAGTTCTTTGACAGACTTGTGTTGGAGCAAAGTTGCCACGTGGCATCGAGGATTTGCATGTTCAGACGTTACCACGGGAGAGAGCCTCCAGAAGTAACCAGAATGTCTTGGTCCTACACGCAGCCTCTTCTACATGATGCATTGTGGTATCCTGTTCTGTGTTTTCTCGAGAACACGAAGATGTCTTGAATATACATATTTGAGCCACCGGCAGAGTGTAATTATGTACATTTTTCGTTCAGAGTCTAGGGGTATGATTCATATGATCCATTGGTGTCCCCAGTCTGGTGCCAGGCTCGCCGAGTTTGTGATTGACCTGGGTGAGTCGTCTTCCAGCGTCGATGATTTTGAGGCCAAGCTTCAGGAGACGGCAGAACCACATTGGAAGTTACGTATGGCCCTATGGCATCCTATGGCCCTATGGCATCCTATGGCCCTATGGCCTGTGATCATCTCATCATCTCTCAGGATGGTAGATCCTCCAAGCTTCAGGAGAATGGAGCAGCGGCTTCCGGCCCTTTCTGCCAAAGGCTGTTAGAGTGACTGGGCTCATCTCCATTCAGACATCTCAACTGGCCAAAGATGGATCTGCAAGGAATCTCCATTTTGTCCACAGCTCTTTGAGTTGCTTGGTAGAGTAGCCAAGGCTCATTCAAAAACTGGGTGGGCCACAAAAGCCTGGACAAGCAGATGCCAAGGGTGTGGAACTCAGTGGCAGGGGAGATAGTGTAAGTGTGTAAGTATAGATTGGCGGGTGACGAGACAAAGCCCTTGACATTGCCGAGTTCTCAAACCAACTTTGCTTCTTACCACTCTTGACAAGTTGAATTTGCTGATTTGCGCATTAACAAGCAGGGATTCTGCGCCAGGCGGACCCAATGCGAAGGCCTCCAACGAAGCCTTAGCACTCGCAACCAAGGACAGGAGTTGTGAAAAGTGATGGAGATCGTGCAATAACCAGCCAATTGTTCTTTGCTACATATGAACCGCTTTTTGTTTTCAGGAGATCGCTAAGGATAGAAAAGTGGAGAGGCCCCGTTGACTTCTGTCCCGAGAGCAGTGACATCAGTTGAAGTCTTGCAGCAACAACACTTCTTTGTATTCTATGAATATCATGAATACATTCCCCAGGAAAGTCTTGAACTCTTGGTAAGATTGGATCACAGCAGAAATATGCTGGATGTTAACTCATTCTTGCAGGCGAGAAAGAAGTCGTAGTCGGCAAAAAGATACCCAGGACAGTTGCTGACAAGATTGGAACATGTCACCTGAGCGAACGCCTATTGAAAATGAACTGATATGTATTCTACGAATTCAGCATTTAACTTTAGCAACAAAGCATTGTACATGATTGTACACTGTGGTCCTGTAGGGAGCACCCGATCTCGTTCATTTGCAGTTGCCTTAACTGCCATTAGACCACCTTGAAGGAGAAAGACAAGAAAGAAAAGAAAAAGGATCTGCGAGGACCTGCCGCTTGGACCAAATTTGCGTCGAAGGCCATGAGAGTTTCGATGGAAACTGCCTGAGGGGTTTGGCTCATCTTGAGAGCTACTTGAAACATCTTGAAACAACTTGAAACAGAATGGCTAGAGTTTGGACTGTGAACAAATGTGGATGCTGTTTTGGCTCGATCTACCCATTTTATGACATAGCATGCTGCCAGCAAGGTAGAGCTCTACGGAATCTACAAGGGTCAGGCTGGACATCTCCAGTTCGAAGTTCGAACCATGTATTTGGACTGGCGCACAGATTTTAGATGATTTCAGGAATTTTCAGGACACATTCTCCTCTGTTTAGGAAACCGCTGATTCACTGATTGTCCAGGGGAGATTCGTAGCGGGGTGATTTGAGGTTAAGATTCCGTCCATTCAACGACATGTTTGCTGTTGGTAAAGCGCAGGTTTCACGGCTCATGGAGTACGGTGCCTTCATTTCCTTCGAGACCTCCGAAGGCATTGCTCATATATATATATATTATATGTAATGTATAATATAATATAACACAACATAATATAATATGATATAACATATATTACAATATATATAATATATAATATATCATGTAAAATATATAATACATAATATATAATACATAATATATAATATAATAGAATATAGAATATATAATATATAATAGAATATAGAATATATAATATTTATCTCTTCTCTCTCCTCTCTCTCTATAATATAACACTCTCTCCTCTTCCTATCTCCACTATACTATTGATTCTCCTTGCTAGCATCTCTCCTACTACTCGCCCTCTTAATAGATAGAATATATAATATAATAGAATATATAATATAATAGAATATATAATATAATAGAATATATAATATAATAGAATATAGAAAAATATTAGAATATATAATATATAATATAGAATATATAATATATAATTATCAATATATAATATATAATATATAATATATAATATATAATATATAATATATAATATATAATATTATAATATTATAATATTATAATATATAATAAATATTTTTATAATATAAAATATATAAAATATATAATATTATAATATATTATAATATATTATAATATATTATAATATACTATAATATAATGTAATATAATGTAATATAATATATTTAATTATAATATAATATGTGATATAATATGATATGATATAATATAATATTATAATATAATATAATTTCAGTCAATATATATGTATATATATATAAACTATATGTGTATATAAACAATATGTGTATATATATATATTCTTATTTACGTATATATATATACAATATATGTAAGTATATATATATACATACATATTTGTGCTTTGAGCATGGGACATATCTTGCATCTTAGCCTTCCAATTCGCACACAGGAAGAAGAGAAGGATTGGCTCACTTGAGCGAAGTCTCTCGGGACCGGTGTCATGTGTGCTGCCAACCTTCGAGCTTTCCAGCTTCCAAGCAACTGATTTGAGGAGACAAGAAACGTGAGTCGAGCAGCAGACCATTTGAAAAGGACTGGACTGGGTCAAAGGCTGAAAGTTGCTGACAATTGCTGAGAGCTGAAAGTTGCAGCAAGCATGCCAGTGCCCTGGAGGAATCAAGAGTGCTTCGTGAAAATCATAGGTTCCTGCCCTAGCCATGAGAGACTTTACGGCAGGCATGGCAAAGGTGACCCATGGCCCATGGCCATGTGACCGATTCAGGTATTGCAGGGACGAAGCTCAACCTCTCTCTCCGCGAAGTGGACCAAGAGACGGGTGAGGACAAACAGCTCTCTTGTTGGGTTTGAGTTGATGAACTATGATTAGCTGATGATCAGCTGATGAACTATATTGTCACAGGCTGTGGGTAAATACTACAAATTCTGTATACAAAAAGCTTAGATTTTAGGGGCGGATTCTATATGTCAATGATTGTCAATGCAGATCTCGATCAGCCGGCATACACTTTTTTTGCTTCCAACGTGTCGGATACTAATAGCGGACAATGATGCTTCTTCCAGGGCCTAGTGGAAAAATGGGTATGTACATAGTCAGACAGTAGTAGTATGTGTCATGTTTTTTGATGGATGGCTATTTTTTTTTGGGATTATCATTTTTCCGTTTTGGGCATTTTTTTGATTTCTGTTTTCCTGCTTCTTTGCTTTTCTGCCTCTTTGCTTTTTGCTTTTCTGCTTTTCCATGCTTCTCTGCTTTGATGCTTCTTTGCTTCTCTGCTTCTTCACTTTTATGCTTCTCTGCTTCTTTGTTTCTTCGCTTCTCCACTGTTGTGCTTCTCTGCTTTTTGCTTTTCCGTTTTTCCCTGCTTCTCCGCTTCTTCGCTTCTCGAACCTAAACCAACCCTAGAACCAACCATAAATAATTCCTAAACCAACCGTAAACCAACCTTAAATGAACCCCAGTCGCAAAATACCATGCAACATGAAGAGTTTGAGCACCAACATGTTGCAAGTACAATGGAGAATGAAAGGTTCGAACTCCAAAATGTTGTAAATACAGTTGAAATGGAAGCTTCCAGCTCCAAAATGCTGCAAATAGCAAGGAAAACGGGCAGAAAAGCAGATCCCCCCCAAAAAACAAAACGGAAAAAACTAATTCCCAAAACAATTCCGGACCCAATAAATCACCAATGATCCACAGACTTTCAGCTGCTGACTACCGTGATTTTGGCCCATACCATCACATACATCACATACATCACATACATCACATACATCACATACATCACATAGCCACTTTCCCAATTTTTCCCATACTTTCAAGAGGTGCTGTGTACTTCAGGACTTGAAGGTGCGGAAGGTGAAAGGTGGCGAAGAGCGTGGCGTCCTGAGATGAATTGACAGCTTGTTTTCCCAACGGTTTTGTCCAGCTCAGCCACCCTGCCTGTGGCTAAGCCGACGAGAAGGATGCATCCAATCCAATGCGAAAGAAGAGGATGGAGGAGAGATATGTTCTTTGATATTGTGACATGCCTTCAATGTGTTGCTTTCGATGTCCGAATAAGTTGAATCAGTGACATGTTTAACATTCTTTCGCTCTCGAACGGTCTCTGGCTGAAAGGAGAATGCAAAGTACGGCAAGGCGCACTATCCACTGCAATGGATCGTGAGCGATTTGTATTATGCAAAACTACTAGTCCATACGTCCTTTGTGAGGCATAAACACCTTAAATATCCTTAAAGGTTGTGTCTCATGTTATAAGTTTCTCGATGACTTGGTAGACTGACCTTTTGAATGTGAGCGAGTAGTCCTGCAATAACTAAGCCCCGACATTCAGATAGTCATGGATGGTCCTAGCGTGGTTCAAGCTGAAAGCTTGGCCTTGTCATGTTTGAAAGGCTGCCCATAGCATGGATTGCCTCGATTTATGGGATCTGCCTATCTTCCACTGTATACTTTTCCCTGAGCAAAAGTGCAAACATACCATCTTCGGCTGTGCTGCACTTTGCTCCACTCATTCTAGAATCTTCTAGATCCTTCAGTGCTGACTTTGGGGAATCTCCTTTCACATCAACTTGATTGGTTTGGAGGATATTCCGTCATGCGACCTTCCCCCTTTTCACACTTTTTGGCTTTTCCTTTGCGGAGCAGGTCACCGGCATTAGGCTGGACTATGCCGACAACGATTCGGAGAGGACCTGGGGTGTGATGCAGATCTTGCAACTGAAACTGGAAAGGGCTGGGAGATGAGGCACCCTGTCATCACCTTAAGGCCTTAAGGCTTAAAGTTTACGGAAGTCAGTTGGGCCAGCATTCGGTTCCTTGGCAACATTTGAAATGTGATGTTTCAGGAAGAAGCTTCGGCAAAAGAAAAAGCTGAACGAGTACGAGATGTGGGAGGTGCTTTACCTATGAAAACATTGGGTTGAACACTCGATCTCACCCACTCCAATACCAGTGGGAGGGTCTACACCACGTGATCCAAAGAACCTTGGTATGATCTCACCCAGTGGGTCCAACATACAGATGAAGATGAAGGAATTGAACCACCCAGTGTTGTGGGATTGGTTTCTGCGGGATGTGACCAAAAATCTGGCACCTTCAACGCAGCGAGGCGCAACAGCTCCAAGCCTCCGGTGTCATTGAGCAGCACGAACGCCTGGATTGTGACGAGGACACGATGGTGGAGATTTGTCGACCTACCCATGTAGCTCTATAATAATCGTCAGGTTGGTCTATAAGACATTATATGGGAATCGTTCTAAAACCCATGCAAGACTTTTAGTATCCGAGTGACATCTGCAGATATGGACGTGTGTTTTTACCTGTGTCGCGAAAGGCCGCGAAAGCGCGGCGAAGGGTTTCGCGAAAGATCTGAATACCACTATTTTTACGAAACATGCGCACCAAACATGACCATAATTCTCTGTCCCGATTCTGCAATTTTGGAAACCATAATTTTAAACACCCCCCATATCAAATTCAATCAGGTTGAGGTCTTCCAAGAGTTTCGACCAAGTTGAGAATTTCGATCTGGGGCAAATAACATGATCGTTTTGTGTACCCAGGAGCCTTAGCGAAGCGGCCCAAATTGAGCACAAGGGGACCATGGAGGTACTGTAATATATAATTATATATATATATAATTAATATGATAGGTCTGTCTATCTACCTAATCCTACCTATCAATCTATCTACCTATCGATCTATTTTTTTCAGCGACATCCCCCGACAAGGAGAAGGGCCTTTTGGCTGACAGCGACATCGAGGAAGACTTCGAGATTGAGCTCCAAGAAAAGGTCCACCGTTGCGCTGTGGGGTGGAGAATTTTTGTATTTCAACTATTTCTCATTGGTATTCCTACGCTGAAATCATAGGTCAAACCAGGAAGATTTGGAAGACTTATGTAAATTCATGCATATTGATGCATCTATCATACATACATAAGACATCACAAGACACAATACTTTACTTTGCCAGCTTCCTGAGTCAACACGAACGCAGGGGAAACGTTCTCGTTGCACAGGAGCCTGTCTTCCTCCGTGGTCAAACCACAAAAGCTGGAGTTCGACTGTCACCTATCCAGGCAGGGCAATTTATCTCACGGGTGCACACAGACACACACGTCCAAGGTTACATCCAGGGTTACATCCAAATATATCCAAATACAAGGGTCTCATCAAATATCACGAGAATTTCCTTGCCATATTGGAGTGGTTCACCCTTGACGAGTCAGAGGAATTTTCTCCATTTTTTTTTGGCTGATGTTCAGCTGGGCTCAAACCTTGTGAGGTCGTCAAGGAGCCCGATGGCAGCTTGGCACGGGCCGCTTCCACGTCTGGTGGCTCAGTGAGTTTCATTTTTCAGGGTGTATTTTCATGTATTTTCCATAACTGACATCCATATAAGATGACATAACTATACATAACTGACATAACTAAAATACTCTGATCACCATAAGATTACATACTTGCACCCCATAAGATCACCATCTCTGTTGCTTCACCAAGGGCACAAGCCTTGGCCACAGAAAGACGTGAGGCAAGGGAGGCCATGCAGCAGGGGATCCCAGGGATATCTTGGGTCATTCTGAGTTGAGTTTTTAGTTTTGTTTTTTGGGAACTTGCCCATATATTCATCTGAAAATGATGGCATGTCTTTGATAAGCATTATCTGACATGCCGCTACCCCTTTTTGTCATTCGGAATGTTCTGACGGGACTGAGGCAGAGCTTGCTGGACGCTATTCCGAAGGATATGGGCAGACCGTGGGAGGACTGCCCGGCGCTGGCAACAACCCAGGGTATCCACCACCTGAGGTCCAAAAACCTTCAGCGGTTCCATCTCTGGTGGTAGCTGCTGTGCCCAACAACTTGACACTTTGAAGTAATTACACTGTAACCTTTCCAGTGACAAAGACCATCAACTCATCCATTTCAGCCGCGCATGTGCTACTCAAAGTGTAGACAGTGCTGGCTAGAATTGATCTTACTGCATGTGAGACTTTGCAAGGTGTACCTTGCTGAAAGGCCCATGGAGCGTTAGTAGTAGTGCTTGGCGACGAACCAAATATTTGCTATGCAACGCTTGCTCCATTCTCGAGTCTTCTTGCAGATTCAACCGGATGCTGAAGACGGAGGACATGCTGATAGGACAAAAGTGAACAAAACGTCACAGCGTTGGCGGCTTTTCTGGCCTTTGAGGGTCACAATGTCCTTTTTTTTGCTTATGGTCATATGGTCAGACTGGGACCGGCAAGACTCAGGGCTTCCATCAGGCCATTGCAGAAGCTGGTTCTTTGCAGCGCACGTGGGAAATCCAATCGGGAAGACTCCGAGCTTCAGTGGAGCTTTTTCGAGTTTCGATCTGCTGGGTGATCAGCTTCCATGTGATCTGGATCCTTTGGAGAAGCCGGCAGATGAAGGTCCAATAAGGTTCATTTGCAAAACCAAGTTGATTTGATGAACATTCTTTAGCAGCTTCAACGAACTTTTACCATTACCCACTTGCATGAGCGCGGCAAAAGACGATCATGGGGATCCACCTCCAGTCGATTGCATTGCACACTTATCTTGATACTCCTGCAGTGTGACTTGTGAAAAGTCGCATTTGTGGCATACATTTTGCAGTGGTTGATCTAGCTGGCGCTGAAGGGCAAGGCGTCCATAGGAGCACAGGGATTCATCGAAAAAAACCACGAGTTGTTCCAACTCGGTGGTGTTTCGGAAACACGGCGAAGTTCTTGGAAACTTCCTTGGATGACAGTGCTGGCCGCTGGGAACTGTGGTGATGCCATTTATGGCACGGATTTGAGCAAACTGAAGGCTCCTTGTGTGCCGCGGAAGTCTCAACTGCCTGCCATGCTGTTGTTGGAGACTTCCAAGCTGGGCTCCTGTTGGTAGGGTGCGAATGGTTGGAAAGTGTGAGCAGAATACAGCGCTCCAAGGCCTGTTGCACAAAATCACAGGTTTTAAAGTGGATCTGGTGAAATGATTGGTTGGGGCCACCCACGGTCGTCCGGCTGAGGGACCACCGTTTATTCAACAGGGCGATCAGATCGTCCTGGGCCCAAAAATTGATCGGCTGAGTGTCTCACTCAGTTGATGGGCCTGGTACGATCTGATCGCCTTGTTGAACAAACGGTTTTTCAGTAAACAATTATATAATTGGAGCATCAGGTAGCAGCTCTTACTTCGTAGGTTTGCTTGTCTCAGCTTTGTGGTGCTTGCTGGAGCTATTGGGCTCAATTTGTCGCGCCCGGTGGCCTCTGCTCACGAGATGCCGTGAGAAAAAAAGTCTGATTTCAGCAGATTTCTGCAGATTGTGACATGTCTGTGCCGAAGCATATCCCTCAGATATCCCCACGACAGATCCTGTTTCTTGGCCAGGATCCGAAGCCTGAAGCAGGTGAGCGAACCATCGCGCAAGCCTTGAGAGGTGCCACTCATTGGTTGGTTGATGCTGTTTGAAACACCTTTAGTGGAGAAGTGTTGGGATCCAAAGATGCATGGTTTAGTTTATATAGTAATGTTTATCTGTTTATGTAGTCATGTTTAGTCAATTCAATCTTGCAGAAAGTTAATTTTCCATGCTACAACTAGTAATTTGATGCACAAGATTGGCACAAGATGATCAAGGCCTTGGACAGACCTCCTACGAGTTGCCGGAGTGGAAGAAGTGGGAAGCCTGAGCTCGTATCATTCTCTGAACTTGAGCTTCCGAGTATTTTGAGCCCTTCAATTGTGCATTTTTTGCCCACCGGTGCTTGCTGAATTGACAACCTTTTATATAGAAGACAACAAATCAGAATCACTTAGAGTCAGAAAGATTTTCTGCGCTATTGCAGGCTGTATATCGGCAAATCCGTTTCCTACGGACAGAAGTCGGTGAAGCCGATCAAAGAGCAGCGAGAGTCACTTCCAATTTTCAAGCTGCGGAATGAGCTTCTTCAAGCCATCCACGACAATCAGGTGGGGAAAGCACGGGACAACGACACTGTTGCCGCGCTATCAGCATCAAATCTACAGAACAAGTATGAAGAAGTCAATGGGGCCTAGGGAAAACAGGGGCACCACAGGGGTTGGTGTCTAGCTTCAGACCCACAGGCAACTCCAACTGCTTGTGGCCAGTGCAAGGTGTTGATCGTCATTGGAGAGACTGGAAGTGGGAAGACTACTCAGATCACTCAGTACATGGCCGAAGTTGGGAACTCATTCTGAATTCTATTTCGTATACCAAAGTGAAGCGCAGTTTTGAAAGGCAATGACCTTGAAGTAGCTGTAAAGTTTGAGAGCCGAGCGAAGCTTCGAACGTTCCACTTTTCAAAATCCCTTCCAGACCGCGAGAAACTCGAAATTTCCCAGAGCAGATCCGGCAGATCTGTTTGGCAAGGCTGGCTACACCTCCAGAGGCATGATTGGTTGCACCCAGCCTCGACGAGTAGCTGTCCTCCCGGCTTGGTGATTATCAAGATGTAGTTTCGTATCCTGTGGGTTCAAACCAGTTGTTTTGGGTCTTATCAAAGATAACAAGTAACCGCAAATATCTTAAAATATCTTAAATAACCGTTAACAAAATAATAAATGAACTTGTCCAATTTGTCTTGCGTATTTTTGTGACGAATTCAGGCTTTGAAGGTGGTTGATCTCTGCCAGGCCATGTCGGTGGCAAAGCGTGTCTCGGAAGAGTACGGTTGTCGCCTGGGTTCAGAACTCAATCGAGGGACATCTCAGACATCTCAGACATCTCAAGTACGACTTTGAATGCAGGACATCCCAAGAGGTTGACCTTGGGAGATGGCTTCCATTGGCTTCCACAAACGACATTCGGGACACCGCATTGCAAGTGTGACACTAATGAACTGTAGACTGTGACGTTGGATCCACGCAGGGCGTGTGTGGAGAGCTACAGACTGTGCACAATGGCCATGGGCCATGTATACAGGCGAGAAGTATTGCATACAGACAGACTCCTCAAATTTTGTCACCTGAGGTCAAGAGGTTGGTTATGCCATCCGATTTGAGGACCGATGGACACAAAGTTACTTCATAACTCAGTGCTATCAAGCATCCAAAATCGAATAGATCCAAAGTGTTAACACATAGTTTTTTCAATACATAATACCAACACTCTCACTGCAACCAACTAGACCTTCTTGGGTTCGATGATTTTATGGCCTGAGAATCCCATGTGAGAACCGAAGAAAGAAATCCATCCGTTGTAACCTTTTTGGATGAGGCCAGCAGTCTCAGACTGATCAAACTGATTGCAGGACCAGACTGGTCCAGACACTTTGATCAAGTACATGACGGATGGTATGCTTTTGCGCGAGATCCTCTCAGATGATGAGGTCGCACTAAGATTGGATTTGCACTCAAAACTGCCACTGTCCTCATTCAATACCAGCTTGTGCGGTTGCTACCTAGCGACGAAACCAGAAAACTCTTCATGGTCTCAAAGCATTGTGAATCCGGATGCCAGGTCAGCAAGTATGCTGTGATCATGCTGGACGAAGCGCATGAAAGGACCTGCAATGACGGAGATGCAGATTGCATGGCCTGGAGAACGAGTCTGAAGCATTTCCCAGTTGTCCTTCCTGCTGTGTGATGGAGAACCTTCTGCTGAGTGAGCCCAGCTTGCGAAAATTGCAGGACCATCTCAACAGATGTTCTCTTCGGATTGTTGAAGGCTGCAGTGAAGCCAGCTCCTTCAGACTTTCATTTCTGGAACATGCACTGGTTGCACCGTCTTCCCTCACTCGAGTCCAATGTGTGTTGCTTTTGTTGTTTTTTATCTGATCATTATTGTTGTTTGTCTGCCCAGGAAAAGAAAGGAGCTGAAGCTGATTGTCACTTCAGCACATACCTTACAGCAGCAAACCATTCTCACCTCTCTCAAGTACTGATTTCTGGAGAGAGATGTCAAGACCCACGAAACGGAGTCACACCTCCAAACAGACAGATGTGCACCATTCTGGCGAGTAGCTCAGTCCGCAGTTCTAAAGGCGACTCTGGATGCGGAGAAATTCTCCAGTCAGCCTTTCATGTCAATTGAGGGGCAAAATGCAAAACGTTCAGCCGCAAATGTTTTTGTGTTCAGTGTCTGTGAAGAGTCATACTTGTAGCTACATGTAAATATTACATCACTTTGGTTTCAAGAGTTAGCTCCTTTTCTTGGCCAGCCTACTTCTTCAACTCGCACATTTTCACCATTCCGGGCAGGAGATCTCAACTCCATTCCGCTTTTTCATTTTCTTTTGTGAGGGACCTCTTTTTGTGTGAATGTTGATACCAAGCCGTCTGCATTGTGGCCTCAAGCACTGCACTGCAGGACCTTCCCTGTGGAAATCCTCTACTCCAAGGACATCTCTGACCTCTGTTTTTATATCAGCCCAGGTGTGCAGGTGACAGCGGGTTGCGCAGGACCCGGAGCAGGACTACGTGGAAGCTGCCCTGATGACTGTCTTACAGTCGGGACTCTCAGGATCTTTGGGAGCATCGAGCATCGTTCAAAGAAATGCTAGGCGAAGCAAGACACACACACACAGAGTTAAGTTTGCACGAGTACAATCATGAAAAACTACGAAAAAGGTAGAGTCCACAGTGTCCACAGAATATGTTTGACAGGGTTCTGTGAGATGTTGCAGCTTTTCCACATGTCACCCACATGGAAACCTTGTTCACAACTTGCTGTCGCATCTCAGGATCCATCTCACCGAGCCGTCCGGTGACATTTTGGTCTTCCTCACGGGTCAGGAGGAGATTGACACTGCATGCAGAGAACTCAGAGAGAAGAGTTCGTGAATTGAGTGAAATGTTCAAGTTTTTCATGATGTCAGCATATGTCAGCATACGTTACTTCTGAATGATTGGATTTGAGATGATTTGAGAGGTATTGGTTATCGACTCCCGTGGCAGAATGCGAAAGTGCAGCAGCTTTCACTGCAGAAACACTCACAGTTCGCAAGGTCAAGTCCTGCATGAACGAATGCAGAAGTTGGAGGCGATGAGCCCGCCGCCTTTGATTATTCTTCCTGTTTGGAGCTCAAATTGGAACGGCCAACAGTTTTATTCTTGGATATGTGTGCGCCATCTGTCACCGGCATTCCCAAGGGTGACAATCTTGGCGTCAGTGTTGCATTGTTGTGCAATCATGCTCGGACAAGTGGTTCCAATTGAGATTTCCAACCAATCACAATGTGAAGCGTTAGCTGCGAAAATTCAGAAGGCATTCATGTATGATGTTGAACGCGCGAGAAAATTGTGAGCGCCACCTTCTGAGGTGTACAGTGCATTGCCTTCGGAGATGCAGACCATGATCTTTGAGTGTCCTAGCGGAGATAGCGAACGGAGATAGGAGAGAGTGAAAGAAACACATAGTTTTTTTCAATTACAGTGATTACAGTGTTACAAAAGGTAATAATTCACAAGAAATCACCACAAAATGATACAACATGTTCGCAATGCAGTTGAACGAGGGGCATCTTGGCGCGGCAAGGCCACCACCTCCTGGATGTCGAAAATGTATTGTGGCCACGAACATTGCCGAGGTGCCGGGTGCCGGACATAACTTGACTCTAAAGAACTGCTGGTTGACTGTTTGACCATGGCTGGTCTTGGATGTTCTTGGCATTTTGTTTGTCACTTGACTGACCCCATTTGAACATTTGAACATTTGGTTCTGTATTGGAGTGTAGTGAATTTCTTTGTGGATGACCACTCGCCAAAGTTTTTTGGCTGTGGCATGGTGCAGCGACAAAGCCGGGCATAGGCATCTTTGACCATTGATGGCATTTTCTTCGTGGTTGATCCAGGGATGGCAAAGGTGGTGGCCTGAAGTGACGACACTTCGCCTTCATCTTTTTTGAAAAGAATCAGTGGAAGCTTCCGTCGCAGCCAAGGTTAAGATGTACAATTCCAAGACAGGCTTGCAACAGCTGCCAATTCGCAGAGTTGCTGCAATATGCTTCTCCAGAATCTTTTCCCGTGAGGGATGTCAGTGCAAACTTATTTTTCCCGTCCGACCTGACTCCCAGTGCGCTTTGCAGGCATGGACTCCTTGCTTATCACGCCAGTGAGCCAGGCAGGGAATGCTCCAGAACGAACAGCACCTACCAGCTTACCAGGATGTTTCAAGAAACCAGATGGCAAACACAGAGCACCTTGAAGCAAGACTTCTTTGAGCAGAACATGCAACAAAGGACGCTGACCAGAGCCTCTCGAGCATGAGCGAAATGTCATCCGTAAAACATCAATACAATGTAGACACGTTTCTGATTAAATATATATTATTTGCACTATATAGATACAATGACAGATAAATGCAGATGTACATATCCACGGATGATCCTTGTCGAAAGCGAAAGTACCAGAGCAACTGAACTTTTTGAAAAGGTCGGACATGACAACTTTGATACGCATGACACGCACATTGAAAAGCAAATCACAACAAAGAGTCCATCTAGTATGAATGATGACCATCAGATCAGAAAATTGGATCTTCTGTTTGTTCTCACCAACTATCATTTTCTTCAATCAAACTTTATCCTATACGTGTCAATATTCTGCTTCATCAAGTGGGAAAAAGAAAAGAGGTATTTTTACTGAGTTGCTGCATGATAGATTTCCAATATTCTGTTCTCTTTTCTTCAGGCATCAGTCACCTTCTTTTCATTGCCGACAACTCATAAACCATACTTCATGTTTCCTCACCGTTTACCAATCATAGTGGTCTGACATTGGTATTAAACTCTTGAGTCAAGGCAATGGCAATAAGTATGTGTCATGCTTCGGTGCATAAACTACTTAACATTGACCCGTGTTTTCAGAACCTGCCAATAATATCGAACATGACTCAACATGATGAAGGTACCACAGTTTTATTTAAAATGAAACTTTTCGCGGTATTTTATTTTTGCGTATTGTAAGTCTCTTACTTCGTCCATTTATCTTGTTGATTGAAGTCATCAATATAGAATTTCTTTTCCCTCCGTTGGGGTCTATCTAGAGTGTTTTTTATTTATCGATTCCCTGACAATAGCCGCACACTGTCATTGTTAATGTCATGTGCGCGGTCCAGATGAAAATGTATTCAAAGCAACCACAGAGTACATATTATCATGTTTTGAAGGACGTTTTTACCAGGAGCAACTAGAGTTGGTGAAAATTAGGTTCTTGCTGCTATGGCGTGATTCGTATGCAAATGGAAATGTACAGGTGAATGCCTTCGCATTGCACAATCTTGTCGCTTTATCCCCGTGTTGCAGACGTTGCACATTTGCGGGTTTCTACAGCTGTTGTTCGTTGGAATTGGACTGCTCCGTCGCTTCATCGGCCGTGTTTCCTGCAAGGCAAATGCCCGGCAACGCTCCGGCCGTGCTGGCCGGACTGGTCCAGGCAAGTGTTATCGCTAGATGCTCAGTGCAGCACCTTGTGGGTTGTTTCAGATCGAAAAGGTTTTCAGAGACACTTCCCACTACGGCTGAGTCATATTTTGAATGTGATTGAATGGGATAATTGCTGTTCCGCCAGGTTGTGCTCTGTGAAACAAATGGTAGTCACTGTAGTGGCTGGCTGGTCCAACAATTTCTCCCCCAGGACGGCCGCTCAAACGAGTTTTCCTCAAACAGTTTTTCCCCCACAAGGCCTCTACACCGAGTTGGCGTACCGCAACGAGATGTTGCCCACCGTAGGGAAATCCCAGACACGGCTTTGGCGACGCAAAGCAACTCTCATTTTTCCGGTGATGTCATGCTTGCCAAGGCTGTGCCGGAAATCCAGAGGACCAACCTGTCCAACACCGTTTTGTTGCTGAAGGCAATGAGTCAAAGACAGCTATGACAGCTATGACAGCTATGACAGCTATGACAGCTATGAGTCAAGTCAGCTCAGCTGATGGGGTTTCTATGGGTTTCTGATGGTTT